CTGGGGAGTGGGGGATAGCAACGGGGGTGGGGGTGGGGCTGTAGAAAATGTCGAGGCTGGAGTCATGCTCACGCGCAAGCTGAGCCTCTGCCTCCCAAGGGTCCACGTACGAGGAAGGGTTCTGATAGTACGGAGTACATGTGATGGGTGGCGGAGAAACACAAGCGGTGGGGAGGGTAGTACGAGTGAGCTCGGAGAGATAGCGCGGGGGGCGTGAGGGCTGGAAGTGTTGAGGCAAGCGTGCGGCCTCGGGGCGAGTGGGGAGGTGTACGAGGGGGGAGCTGGGAGAGAGGCGGGAAGAGTGGCGATGGGAAGGAGAGAGGCGGGGGTCGTCGTGGAGGGCGTCTGCTAGGGCGGATGCGGCGGAGGAGGGTGTGCTGGGTGCGGACGTCACAGGCGACCGGTCGGGTGTCGTCGAGCGGGAAGAGACGGGGGAGCCAGGGAGAGAGCCTGAGGAGGACGCACGGGGCTGCGCACGGGGCTGTTTCCCGGCGAGCCAGCGCAGGACAGGGTGGGGCTTGTCGTCTTTCTGCATCTGGGACGGCGCGGTGGTGGAGAGGGAGTGTCGGGAGGAGACTGCAGCGCGGGAGGTAGCCGACGGCAAACTTGTTCGGGTGGCGGAGGGAGGCCGAGGGCGGGGGCGCGGAGGCCGCATGTCGGGGCGGCGGCGGGAGTGCAGGTCGACGTCTTCGCCGTGGCCGTTCATCGTCCTCCAAGTCGCTCTCGCCGTCGAGTCTGTCCTATTCGCCGTCACGCCTCTCGCTCCAGTCCCGACGCATCACACGTGACATCCTCCGCGTCGCGTTTCTCCTTCCCCCATGAGCCACCAACATCTCTCCCTCCCCTCCGTCCTTCCCTCGGCTCCTGCCCTCCAGGATGGTACCCCCAGTCTGTCCATTGCTGTTCCACTTCCCAGCTGACCCTTGCGCAGTGTCTACCACTCCTCAGCAGCTACAGTCGGGTCTCGCTCGAGTAACTAACCCCACGGAGTGAGCGTATGTTCTGCCTGAATGGTGCGCAGCCTCTGACTCTCCCCAGAACACCCATATTTATATGCGCCTTCGAGAACTGCAACAGGCTCTTTCCAACTCGAGACCGCTTGATGATTCATCGCAAGCGCGACCATGAATCGGAGGACCAGGGCGACATCATAACTTGGAATGAATAACCGGCTGAACGTAGGGATCCCAGTCTAGTGCGACTACTTTGAGCATATCAAAGTCTTGTGCGCACATTTCCATCTTACGTTCGCCAGATTTGCCACGTTTCGCCGCCAGTAATATACAATATACCGGGTCGTAACCTATGCCTCAGCGGTCCGACTGTTACATCACCCCTCTTTATATACTAATTCCCTATGAGGACATCAATTGTGACCTCTGAAAAATACTCAACCCCAACACTCAACCTCTCTCAGAAGATCAAGCACTTTTATTGATTTCTTTCCTCAACAAATGCAAGGTGGTGTTTAATCTCGCCCCATCATCCGCCCCTTTCGTTGTTTGTCTTGTGATTGTGGTGCACAGTGTCTTGATAGCTCTTATTTGTCCACACGTGGATAATTGATTCGTCGTCTGAATCAATAACGCCTACACAGCTTCAACTTCATAGATGTCATCACTCACAGTTGTGCTCACAGCCGCCGTACGGACTGTCAGTCTGGGACGCATGCTCATGATGTTGATACCACTTTTGTCACTCCAGTCTTGATAGATCATTTGGACCTTATAGGGTTTGCGCTAGACCTCGGAGGTCGAATTCCCCTGAGATCCAGGCTCCCCTGGGGTACCCGTCGGAAATGGCGCATTCACAGAAACTCCCTGAAGTCCTGGGCAGTCTGGATGCAGATACAGACAACGGCCCGCCTCTCGAGTCTCAGCGACTCTGTGATGGCGCCTGTTAATCAAGAAACTCGAACATCTTTGTTCGATTGTGCCCAACTCCCTTTGCGATTGGGTAATGGTCAGTGTATCTAATTCTTACATGATCCATCATTCAAAGCTCTGTCATGGTTGACAGAAGTACGTAGTGTTAGCTGTACGCATTCGTCACAACTGTGATTTGTTGCGGGCATGCTTTATACCACTCTATCCCCTCATTTTCCCTTCTTCTGAGAACTGTGTCGTGCAACTGCTTCGCCCCAATCCACGAAGTTTATCAACGAGATCTGCCAAGATGCTTGAAAAAAATTGGGTGCGTCCCCTTTCTACCTAATAAGGGATCTTGAAAATTGACTCCAGAACTGACTCTCCTTTGATAGCGGAGGGCAGCATGTCATCACCATCAGGAGCTCGAGCACTACAATATTAGGGACAGGGCAGGGTCACATTTTCATGGTGTAAGCGAACGCTCGGGCTTCTAACTCCCCCCCCCCAAAGTTTTGGCTTTGCGTGCTGTCCCAAATTTGACTATACCATCGCCATCGTCATCACCATTGCTCAGGCATAGCCTAGTAGTGTGCAATCCCTTCGGCTGCTAATGGCGCGGATGAACTCCTTGAAATCAGCGGTCTTGTCTACGAGGTGACCTAGAACGATATGAACATCCTGTCGATATAGGGATGCAACGACTCTTGGAGACGGCTGGTGCTGTCTCACTTCCCCGCGAAAGGTCTGCGAGTGGATTGGTTAGTAGTGTCCTCATCGGAATAGGTACCGAGTTGAATGATATTCATACCTGCTCGATCTCGGTATGTATCACCAACTCTGATCGGACCCATACTGACCATGTGCATGATCCGTAGTTACTGCAGGCTCCTAGAAGTGGACGCGAATAGTGGCACACGGGCTCACATCGTCCGGCCGTCATGGACACACTGCCGCTATGATTGGATCAGCATTCTATGTATTTTGCGGGATGGGCTAATGGTGTTATTTTTAACGACATTTGAGCCTTTGATCTTTACAACCGTAGGTCAGTGCTACGTCAAGAACTGCTACTTCTTGATCATTCATTCATCCAGCGCGCGCAAATCCATACTGACCCTTCCGAGGGTTCGCCAAAACCTGCACAACGCGCGGATCACGTATGTGTCACATACAATGATCAAATGTTATTGCGGCGCGCCAGGTGTCCGCATCTTAACGGGATGAACAGTCAACTTCCATGACAGATCTGGCGGTGCCCACGAGAAGTGTTTCCGCAACGATACGTGGGCATTCAACACTACTACGAAAACCTGGTCAGAACTGGATTGTATCACTTTATCACTACCCCTCGTGCAGAACATTCGGCATGCTTGGTCGACAACGTGGTTGGCGGATGAGGAGTGCACGGACAGTCACGCTGGGCAATCTTCCGCGCATCCAACGCCACCGGTATGTGTGCATGCGGATATCCGGTTTTCCTTATAATGCGACGGCCTCCTGAGTAAACGGTGGTGCGTGTTCCGTGATGGGACCCGCGCCGAGCACGCAATGGCGTCGGCGGACCAAAGTGTACGTGTTTAGTGACTTGGGCCAATTGACGTCAGGTAAGCCCGCAGACCGCGATCGTTCAGATATCGCCCACGTCCTAGACACGACTATGTTTAGTTGGTGTCTCTGGGTAGATGATATATACACTTACGTGTCTTTTTGTTGTAGCATGTATCAAATATCCGACGCTCTAAAGAAGTAGATTGTTTCCGTGTAGTCAGTAATTGAAACAAATGACAATGGATTATCATTTACTAGTGGCGGTCGACGGTCGATATCGGCCTCGGGAAATTTGTGCATAATTTGTACATACATCTTAGGGTAACTCCATATCAGGTCGAGCGTTTACAGTCATCTTGTCACTGCGTTTGTATTTTCTCGACACCGTCCGGTGTCATGGTTTCCAATCTGGAGACGAGACCATTTCCAACAAAGATACCATCATGACTATGAGAATATCAGTCCTGTGACGTGCATGACTGACTAGCCGTATCATACCACGCAAGGGCAGTCAATGAGTACGGATAATGTTGATATTTGCATGTACATAGACAATCACAGGCTATTCGGCAATGACAAGCTTTGCTAGGGCCTTCTGAAGTACCTAGGGTATTGTAAGAGCAGTGTTAAATGACCGGGAGGTCAAATCTCATCAACGTCTCTGATGGCTTCTTGAACCTTGCGCCCCCACAAATCGAGTTGCGTACCCGCGTGACCCAGCCTTGGATTTATCATGGGCATGGCATGTTCTTCTGTTCTATCACATCATTGTCGTCTGCTACACACCGCCCTGCGAGTGCATCTCGCCATTAAGCGTTTGTTACGATCAGGGTGAAGCAGAGCAGGACTGTCCCTAGGTATGCAAAAGTTTGTTACGATCAGGATGAAGCAGAGGAGGACTGTCCCTAAGTATGCGAAAATGGATCAGGTTCACGAATGAATGAGAGCATACGCACTTCCCGACAAACTAGCAATGGATGTCGGCGATCAAGGTGCGACGGCGATCACCCCAGTCGGGTTTGAACGTGACAAATGAATGCAATGCATTCAAATGAGATGGTCCTGAACATACTGAACAACCTGCGTTCATATAACACAGCATGATATTTTGATGATTACAGACAGTGCCCTCCGTAACCATGAACGCGTGAGTGGAATAACATTGCGAGCTTGGCGGAGGCAGACAGACAGAGACATGGATGTCAACATCTCGCACGTTTGGGCTTGGTTCCATCAGTCCGACTGGGGGGTATGGCTTGTCATTGTAAAATTATATTTACGACCCAGTAGCGGGTAACATGGGAGACGCTGAAGGACGGTGAGCCCCTCAGCAGGGGTAGTCGACGAGGGAGAAGAGAAATAATTTATATATGCTGCGAAAGAGGACAGGCACGAGGCCAAACAGAGGCAAAGCGGCATCAGCGCGAGGCGGTTGCGAGACAGGCGCGCGTCGCGAGGAAAGGGAGGATCTGTCTGCAGCGTCGACTCTATCCACTCTGCTCATTTACAGGCGGGCCTGCTGGGCTCTCCTTGCTCCGGCCCTCATCATTGTCACCTCCCCCTCCTCCCTCCACTGCGCTCTGCGCATCGTACAGTCATACAGTCTCTCCTAAGCTCCAGATCCAGAAGAATGTCCTTCTTCTCCAGGAAGAAGCATGCCCCGCCCACCGCTGCCAACACCGTGCAGTCCCCAAGTGCCGCTCTTGCCCAACTCCAGTCGCAACCACAACCACCCCCAGCCAAGCAGCTATCAAAGGAGGCCAGCTATGAGAGGTGAGAGTCTCGCCTTGACCTCCCCTCCCTAGTAGCACTAGCACAGCACGCTTCGTGGCTTTCATTTCTACCCTCACGTCACATCACCATGACTGAGCACTCTCGCCGCAGCGCCCTCAGTGGCCGCGGAAGTCCAAGCATGGGACAGAACGGCGTCTCTTCTCAGGCCCACCGCCCCATTCGCAACGGCAGCGTCAGCGCCGGCGGCCCCGACGCCAGCAATGCGAGTCCGCAGTCTGCCCAGCCAAATTCCTCTCAGCTTCAATCTCAAGCTCAACAGCTCCAACCGCAGCAGCAGTCTCAGCAACAGCGACCTGCTTATCCATGGTCACAACGCCGGCTAACGCTCCCACCACCCGTGACGATCCCGAAGCCGGGCGTCCAGCAACCGACCGCACCATCGCCATCACCATTCCCCCGGTATGGTCACGCACTACCCGCGACTGCAACCCCTACTGGAGAGCTCTTTCTCTTCGGCGGTCTCGTCCGGGAGACAGTTCGTAATGATCTTTACTTGTTGTCAACTAGAGATTTGTCGGCAACACTATTGCAGACAGCCGGTGAGGTCCCGTCTCCCCGCGTGGGCCATGCTAGCGCTCTTGTTGGAAGTGTTCTCATCGTCTGGGGTGGCGATACGAAGGCCAATACTAAGGCGAAGCCCGGAGATAAGCAAGATGATGGACTGTATCTCCTCAACCTTGGTACGTCTTGGGCGCTATAGCTCCCATGTCTCATTTGTCCTCACTCTATCGGTGTAGTATCTCGAGAGTGGACACGTGTAGCAGTATATGGACCGACACCTGCTGGACGATATGGCCATGCTGTCACTATGGTTGGATCGAAGTTCTATATGTTTGGTGGCCAAGTTGATGGGGAGTTTTTGAATGATCTATGGGTCTTCGACCTCAATTCCCGTAAGTTCAAATCCCTTTTCGTGTCTTTTTATTTTATCGACCTGTCACTCAGTGCGAACGAAAGCAACATGGGAACTCGTTGAGCCTGCCGAGGGCTCGCCACGGCCGGCCCAACGTACAGGCCATGTGTGCGTAACACACGAGAATAAACTAATCCTGTGGGTTTGAACCTCCCTTTGTTTGATGTGTGGTCTAAGGCTGTATTGCAGATTCGGTGGTACGGATTGCCAGTATCATTATAATGACACATGGGTGTTCGATACGACAACCAACGTCTGGTCAGAATTGACATGCATCGGCTACATTCCTTCTCCCCGCGAGGGTCACGCTGCCTCCTTGGTTGATGACGTGATGTATGTATACGGTGGACGTGGAGTGGATGGCAAGGACTTGGGAGATCTTTGCGCTTTCAAGATCTCCAGTAGGTATCTTTCCATGGATATGCAACAACCTTTGCTGATGTTTTCATTTTGCAGACCAGAGGTGGTATATGTTCCAGAAGATGGGGCCTGCCCCGAGTCCGCGGTCAGGTCATGCAATGGCGTCTATGGGCTCACGAGTGTTCGTGCTTGGTGGCCTGGGTGGAGAGTCATTGGGCAATCCCACAAAACCGGAAGACCCAACCATGATACATGTCTTGGATACGAGTATGACGAATTTTCCACCTGTATGGTATGCACTGACATTTCTTTCTGCCCTAGAACATATCAAATATCCGGATTCAAATAAGGCACCTCCTACAGGTGCCCCAGCGACGGGCAGGAAATCTTCTATTAGCGTGACGCAGACTTCGGCACTTCCTGCGTCCAATCTCGGACCTATAATCAACGGTATGCGACCAATGTCGCCTGAACAACAGGGTTCCGATGTCGATGAAGCCCGGCGCGCGATGTCTCCATCTAGCATGAGATCAAGGACACCAAATGGTGCCATTCAGCAAACCGTATCCACTGGCTCGAAGGGTAAGGTTCTAGCACGCTCGGGTCGAGATGACGACGGCTTTGATGGTGGGGAAAGTAGTCCTGAGGCACCTTCTTCTGATTCCCGGGAGCGCGCGTTGTCCCCTGATCCCGGGAGGGCGAAGAGCCCGGTACATAGCGCCAGTCGTGCTACCTCACCTGCGTTGCAAGCAGAGGTCCAGGAACCGCTCAGTATGGCGAGTGTAGCTATGGGTCGTAACGGCCTTTCTGCACGAAGTCCTTCGCCCAATATCGATCGTGGCAAGCCTCCTTTAGATGCTTTCTACGGCCCAAAATCTGGTTCTCCGCTACCCAATGGACATGCTTATCCCAAACCTGGGTCAACTGGAAATCTTACTGCCGATTTAATTAGGGACCTCAAGGACAAGGAAGTGGAGCTTGAGGAGATGAAGAAGCGGGAGGTATGGATGAAGGCGGCGCTTTCGAAAGCATCGCGCTCTGGATTTGTATATGCGGAATCAGAGGCTGAACTCTCTGCTCGGGCGGAAGATGACGATATTGATGGACAGAAAGTCACCGAGATGGTCATTAATTTCAAGCAATTGAAAGCCAAGATTCAAGTGCGTTTCAGGAGTTCTCTGTGCGCATTTCGAATTGACCATTTGATATAGACCAACATTGTCGAGCATGCACGAGTGGCATCAGAGCGTATTCTTGAAGCGGAGCGGTTGCGATCAAGCGCAGTACAGGAGGCTGCATTCTATCGGGCGAAACTGGCCGCGTTGGAGGCATCTTCCGATGCAGAAGTCGCCAAACTTGATCGAGAGCGTGTAGCAGAACTGGAGCGGCAGCTGTCTACAGCTGCATCTGAACGAGGGGAGAAAGACCGCAAGGTCAAAGAACTTGCAGAATCTCTTGCTCTGCAGACGATGCTCGTGGATCAGGCTGAGGCTCGAGCTGAAGACACTTCCAAGCGGCTAGACGCGTTATCTCAATCGCATGACCGAGACTCGAAGGCTTTCCAGGCCCTGCAAGAGAGGCACACCTCTATGGAAATTCTTGCTAGGGACCAGGCGGACAAACTACTCGCTCACAGGTCTCTCGCGGAGCAGCGGGAAGCGGACCACATGAACGCACGAGCTCAGGTGGAACAGCTGACAACGTCGCATGAGCAGCATATTCGTGCGCTTGAGCAAGCGCGCGCTGCGTTGCAGACAGCCTCCACCCGTGCAGAAGAAGTTGACACCCAGTACATTCGCGCCCGAGAGCAGGTAGCACAGCTCGAAGCTGACCTTGCAGACTTGCGGGGCGAGTTGGAAGCGCGTACGACCGAAGTCGAGAATACCCGCCTCCGGATCTTGGATGTAGAGAATTCATGGGCAAAGTCTCGTGAAGAAGCAGATGCCTTCAGGGCGCTTACCACTGGCAGCCTAGGCGAGCTCCTCGATTCTCATCGAGACCTCAAGAGCGACGAAGATCGTTTCACGCAAGGACACGCTGAAAAGGTTGAGGCACTGGAGCGAGAGATTACTTCGTTGCGTGACATGCTCCAAGCTGCGACTCGCCGCGCTGATGAAGCTCAGAACGAAGTTGTGCAAGAGCATCAGAAGGCAAGAGATGCAGAGTCGGAGACATTGTCTCTACGCACTCAGGTCGCGGGTCTGCGAATGCAACTATCGAGCACGTTGGTTGATAGCGGCAAATTGCGCAAAGAACTCATTGCGAAGGAGTCTCAACTCGAGGCCCAACTCAGGGAGGCCGCATCTGCCACTATGCGACTGGAGACATTGCGGACGCATCTGGCGGACATTGGTATTGTGGCAGAGGGAGAAGATCTTCCTTCCAGAGCTGGCGGCGTTTCACCATCCCGGCTAGTGGAACTAGAGAACAGACTTGCCGACCAGATCCGGCTGCACGAGATTACTGAGCGTGATCTGCAAGCCGCTCTGCAGCAGAAGGAAGATGCGGAGGCGCAGGTGGACACGTTGTCTACTCAGTTGGATCAGCTACGTCTCTCTCAGAGTCCAACACGGCGCAACGGCGTGGACGCTGCAGCAGAAGCACGTGCATTAGAGGCCGAGCGGAAGCTTGAGGAATCCGAAGCTAGTTATAAGGCCCGTTTGCAGCAACTGGAAGACGACTATCGGCTTACTGTTCATTACCTGAAGTGAGCACATGCATAACGTCATATATTTATACATATCTCGATTCTGACTGCGCGAACAGAGGCACGGAAAAGATGATGCGCAGAATGAAAGACGATCTGACCAAGCAGAAGGCGCTAAATCACAGCCTGCAAGCTGAACTAGGATCAGTGGAAAACGGTTCTCGGGCTCGTGTGAATGGCCGTAACACGCCCTCTTCGGACGATGGCCACGAGCTGCTGCGTAATCAGCTGCAAGACGCCCAGCGCCAAGTTCAACGACTGAACAGTGACAATCGCGACCTCCGGTTGCGTATAGACACACTGGAGCACGAACTCGAGAATATGAGAGACAATGTTATTGCGTCGCAGCGCGAATCTGACGAGCGCCTTTCCCGCATCGAGGAACTTGAACAAGATGTCGAACGCCTGCAAAATTCCCTCGTCATTGCCCGCGGTGGTCACGACGAGACATTGCTGGAACAGCTCAGCAACGAAAACACCACTCTCAAGCGCGAAAACGAGCAGTTGTCACATAAAATTGACTTGCTCTTGGAAGTCGACCAACCACCCTTTGGACATGGCCGGCCAATATCTGGGATCTCAGAACGTCGCGCGAGCACGTCTAGCTCTGAGAATGCCATGGCATTCGAACATTTGTCTACACAGCTGGATGACTGGCAGCGGCAGTTGGCAAGTTCCATGAGCAATCGACGACCCCTGATGGAGTATGATTCTAACTCGACGGGGCACGAAAGGGCGAGATCACGTTCATGACGTTCTTTAGGTATTTATTGCATATACCCAGATCATTCATTTGTCGCTTTTTGTTTTCGCATATATCACTCTAAGTTACTCAATCGCTTGCTCTCCTGCGCGGTATATTTTGTCATAAAATATTAGAGTAGGGCTTCGCGTATGAATCCTGCTGTACTAATTGAACTAGGAGGACGCGCTAGCACGCTGTGTCCATTCAACGGCTTTCGCTTTAACAGCGCTGGCACCTTCTTCATCGCCCATCCGACGTTCCAACTCCAGCCATTTCTTGAAAAATGATCTTAGGAGCAGATATGAGATGGATGTATGAAAGCAGCAGCAGTGACACGTACTTCGCTTTATGACTAGTCATTTTGATGGCCAGAACTCGGTCGAATATATTTCTGTGCAGATGATAGAATGAGAACAGGATTGATATTCACTGTCACGACTATGATTGACCTGAGGCTCATCATATCACCTTGTCCGGCTTCCATGTCTATGTAAATAGACCACATGTCCCAGCGTTTCGAGTGAGAATCGACTATACCCTCGAATAGAGTTTTTCCTCTCTCCGGATCACCTAGTTTGTATTCCAATTGCGCAAACTTAGATATCGTCTTGAGATCTGAAAACCTGTCAACAGATAACTGTCTACTCAACACCACTGGCGGACGTACGATCGTGCTTTTCCAAACTTTGTAAACTTCGAGGAAGCAGTTTTCTGGCCTCTTCAAGCTTCCCATGCCTTAGATAATGCTCCCCACACAATGTCCACACATCTGAACTCTGGCCAAATTTCTTACAAGTGCGTTGGTATTGCTCTTCTGCTCTCTGTCGATAGGTTAGAAGCATCCAATATAGAAGAACAGCTAATGACTCACATCGGTCTTCCCGCTCTGGTCAAGGATGGAAGCAAGACGTAGATGAATCGTCTCTGAGTCATTGTGTCGGGCGGCATCCCTGAACGTGGTCTCTAGCGTTTCTTCCGTCCCATAAGTATTTTCCAAGTTCAGCAACGCAATCCAGATATTCATCTTTTCTTGCTCTTCACGGAAGTTGATGGTACGCAGCGCGCGCTTCGCAATCTCTCGAGCCTTATCCACTTCAGAGATCTGCAATTGGAAGGACATGTATTGTATCCAGAGATATGACGAATTTGGCGATCCAAGAAGGACCCTCTCGAAATCTGTGTTGGACTCAGGAACCTTGGTATGCATGTCGGCAGTTAGGTCTTGCTCAATCTCCTTTCGCTTGCGTTTGCGCTTCTGCTGACTATCCTCTACGTCTTCGTCTTCAGAAGATGGCTGCATGTCGTCATCGACCTCAACATTCGACGCCACTGACCATTGAAATCCTTGTTGGAGGTTCAAGGAGGGCACGCTGATATGAAGTTCTTTGTCTGTCCGATCGTCGCTGGGAGATTGATCTGCATCGAGCTGAATACTCATGTCGATATTCATAGAATCATCGATAACATCTGCATCCATGTCGTCCTGGTTGTCCTGGTGAGATCTCGAGTCGTCGTCGCCTTGTGAACCCTCCACAATACCAAGGAGATTGTCTTCCTCACTTGATTCCTCGTTTTCATCATCGACATCATTATTCGACTGAAAGTCATCGTCTACAAAATAGGAGGGTTTGAGACCAAGGGAAATGCGTCGTTTTTCTTCGTCGATTGACAGAATTATAGCCTTCACTTGATCGCCTTCACGGAAACTGCGTAGAGCTAATGTCACATTGGCATCCTTATTATCGGAAAGCTATAAATCATATTTAGCACGCAACCTTGCGAGATTTCAATAGTCGTTACTTCGGATTTATGACAGAGTCCAGTGAGCTTTGAGCCTTCAATCTGGATAAACAAACCATACTCCTCCGTTCTCTTGATGCAGCCATCCACTTTCTGCCCTTCAGAGAGATCAGCAAGTGTGAGGGAGTTCGTTTTGAGGTCCCCAGAGCGGAATGTCATTTCGACTTGCTTCTTAGCGATATCGACTCTACCAAATGCTTGAATATGATCCGAATGATATGAAATGCGGGTATTACCTCAGAATCCGGCCTCTAACGAGCTGATGTGCGACAAAACGACTCTTCCAATCCTTGACATACTACCGGACAACCAGGTCATGGATAGGCAAAGCCTCATTTCAAGCTGCCTTAGCTCACCTCATCAAAAAGCTCTTTTATCTGAACTCGTGCGTCAATTTCACGACCCAAGGTAACGAAGATCCCGTGTTCCGCAACTTGCTTGATGAACCCTCGAATTGTTTCGCCTTCCTTCAGATCGCCGATACTCGCTATTTCAGGATCGATGACAGGCTCATCTCGTCTGGGTTGAAGACGCGATGGCCGAGTAGATAGTGTGAGCTGCCTCCTATCTTTGTCGACGGCGATGACCACTGCTTTCAGAATGTAGTCGGCTGGTGGGAATGCCTTGCCGGATTCGAAGTCGTCGTCGACGTCAGTTGGATGTAATGTACCAGACACTGTGTTTGTGAGCTTGACAAGCGCACCACGACGACCATGATGAAGGACGCGACCCTGGACAATTTGGCCTATCTGTATCGTGGCTAGATCTAAAGGTATCTTCTGTGCCAACGTTATCTTCTCCTTGGGTTTTGTGGCTATCCGTACGAATCCCCTCTCTGGATTACGTGAAACAACGACGAGGTCTTGCAGTTTCTCGCCGACCTGCAACGACGCACGAAGTTGTGCGACAGAGACTCCGCGCCGATTCGCAAGGTTGTTAAGTGAGATTACAGTACGAACTTGACTTGGTCGAAGAGTTACGATAGCTTTCTCGTTCTGCACTTCCGTAATATCACCTTCGACGGTGTCTCCGATGCCGATGCTGGCAATGTTTTCAATGGATGCCAAATAATTAGGAGCAGTCTGTCTTATACTAGCCACAATACGAGATGTTTCAGGATCGATGGACATGATCCTCACTTGCACCGGTTTGCCTATCGGAAATGCCGTTGAAAGGCCTACCGCAGTTTCACTAAGTTCGTGGTCAGTGGAATTCACTTCGCATACGCAATGTAGCCGACCTGGCTTCCCCTGCAGGTACCACAGCTTTAACATTATTGTAGAACTCGACCTGCAAACTTTTATCCGATGCCCTGAAAACGACTGCATGCGTAACAAGGCCAACTCGGGCGTCCTCAAACTTCGATATGATCGGTAAAGCTGATTCGAGCAAGGTCTTTTTGGCTGTCAGAACAATCCGTTGACGTTGCGTATCAACTACTAAGACCTAAATCGGAAGTTCAAAAATAAGCTGTGCCCTGGGCAAAATTGAAAATGAAGTGACGCTTACACGACACTTTATGCTTCCACCTGGTTTAAATCGCCTTTGTGGTTGTTTCAGCTGGATATCTGCGTAGTGATTTGGCCAGATGACCCCGTCTACAGATCCCGAGATGGAAACGAACATGGCGGAATCGGTCAACCTCTTTACTGCTCCCTTGAGGACTTCGCCAACCTGAACTTCCCCGACCTGCAGGAATTTCTGCTCTAGAACTGACGGGCGAAGCGAGAGCTGCAAGAGCCCGTCGAAGTGAAAATGCCCAGTAACACGTGCCCTGTGAACTGTGCCCACTTTCCAGGGGCCGGAAGAAGATGACAACGTTGGAACGTGCTCATCTGATGTATGCGAGATCTATAACACATGTTTGATTACTGCGACAAGGATGAGAGTGTGCGAGACTATCGTACGTGGACAAAGCCTTCAACACCAGAGGCGACTTCTACAACAAGTCCGCGCTCCGATTCTACCCTTATTACCTTCACTGCGTCCAGGATAGAGCCAGTCGGATATATCTCATCGAGGTTGTGATTTAGACCATCATCCATTCCCGCAGTGTCCTTTGGCACTAGTTTGAGAACATGGCTGGCCAAAGACAAAGCAAATTTGGGTGGTGTTGCAGTGATAGCATAAAGAACGCGTGCTTTAAGCTTCTGTCCCATTTTGTAATTCCGTTCGGGATGCCCTGGCAGCAGGTGAAACTGGTCGATCGTACCACCGAAGTAGCCCATGATTTGTAAATTTAGACCATCTGGGAGTACCGCTGTCACAAGGGACTGTACTTGCGTCCCAGGTAGTATTGACGAGGCATTCGTGACTTCTGAAAGCTAGGATTAATCGATTCAGGTACCTAAAAAACTGCAGGTGGAGATGTGCACACCGAAGCAGTCATTAACGACGATGCGTTTACCGAGCATGTACATGTTCTGCCATTTGCAGTCGTCTTGGATATGGATATATCAAGCAGATGGCCCACGCGTATCCTCTCTGGATTTTCAAACGGCCCTTGCTTGGCATCTTTAAACGACAGGAAGCCATTGATATCAGAGACACCAAGGTCAAGAATATACCCATGATCTTCTTTGCTCTTCACAGCTGCCGACATGGTCTATCCAAAATAGAATATGAGTAAGAGATAGAAGGAATCGGAATAGGTCGAACATACAAAACCAGCTCGAAGGTCGGCTTTTGATACTCCTGCATTCACTTTCTCGGGAACCAGGCTGAGTTCGATCCTCCGACTAGCTTTGTGAGCTTCGTCACGAATACGCCCTAATGGTGTGGTATCTGTAGCTCCTGGAAGATGAATAGCAGAAACAATGGCCCGTACATAAGACCCTGGGCGAAACATCTGGAACAGCTCTGGAATGCTAGATGAGGCACCGGTACCAGATCCTTCTTCTTCGTCTGACGAGGAGGCATCATCGACTTCTCCCATTTCCTCCAGCAGTGCTGTCAGCTGCGTTGATATCTCGGTGATGGGAACATGCGCAAAGAGCTGGTTTGGTAGAGATATGATTAGGGCAAGCGACTCCACCGACACTACTTGGCCAAGAATCTTCATCCCTACAGTCACTCGCTGCAAAGAAGTTAGAGCGCACAACTGCTAGAAATCAAGCATATAAGCTGCGCACTTTATAATTGAGGTGTTCCACACGGATTTTCTCGCTTTTCTCATCCTTCGATGCCCTGTGCTCTGCCTTGTCGATATCCGATTTACGCCTCTTTCGCTTCGTGGGTTTGTCCTGTCAGTCGATTTGGATTCAATGGACAAACTGTGCATAGAGTTGAACTACACTGACTTCAAATAGCTCCTTATCAGCTTCTTTGACGGCTTCGGCACGAATAGCCTTCACCTCCAGTGGGGTAAAACTCGTTCCACCGCCGCGAGGGAAATCAACCTCTTCTGGAATAGCTGGAAGAGAGACGTCTGCCTTACTCTTCCCTTTCTTGTCCGTGCTCTCCGTCCTTGTCTTTTTAGATCTTGGGTTACCCGGCGCATCGTCCAAAACGCGCTTCTTGCTGGCGACCATGATTCCACAAGTACCGCAAGTCAAGAATCGTTGAATATAAGCGCTGCGTAGCTTGAACCAAATATAGCGCGCGGTCTACAATAATCTGTGAGACCAAACGAGCAGAAACATAGAGCTTTGGGCAAGAGGAGGACTGAATGGATGAGCCTATAGCTTGCTAGTGGAGGAGCATTCCAAAAATTTCAGCCACCGTGATCGGGCAGCGCAATCTTGATGCGTGACGCTTGATGTTACAGTATCTGGCGCTTAGTTTGCTCTTTCAAGTTGTCATCCTGCCACCGGTACCTCGCTTTACAGACTTTCAGAGGACACAATGGGTAAGAAAACCATATCATTATCATTGTTTACTTGCTGTGTTGACCGAAAAGATACGCTCAGACTACCAGGTATGCTAACGGCCTGGTCTTGGGAACACCCATCGCTCACTGTTTTCTAGAACCGAGTTGGCTCCAAGTTTGGTGGGGGAGGTGTCGCAGGTGCATCCGAGACAAATGTTGACAGGCGTGAAAGATTGAGAAAACTTGCCCTTGAGACAATTGATCTCGCGAAGGTACGTTGTATACCTTCTCCAGAGACTCGTCAATAACATGCTTCTTTTAGGATCCATATATCCTGCGCAATCATCTCGGTTCACTTGAATGTCGTCTCTGCCTTACGTTGCACACAAATGAAGGCTCGTATCTTGCACATACTCAAGGGAAGAAGCACCAGACAAATCTTGCGCGCCGAGCTGCCCGTGATCTCAAGGAGACACAATTGATGATTGCTCCTGCACAGAGCAATGTCCAGCGAAAAGTCTTTTTGAAGATAGGAAGACCCGGGTACCGTGTCACAAAAGTACGGGATAGGGACACTGGGAAGGAGGGCATGATGGTGCAGGTGCATCTACCCCAGATCAAAGCGGATGTCATACCGCGAAGACGATTCATGAGTGCTTGGGAGCAGAAGAGAGAACCTCCAAACAAGGCTTACCAATATCTCATTGTACGCCTGGGTTATTGATTTTCATGTAACACTCAGAACTAATTTTTCCTATGGTAGGTTGCTGCCGAGCCGTATGAGACTATCGCGTTCCGCATTCCTGCTCGCGAAATTGAGGATGAGTCAGATGATGCTGGTTACTGGAACTGGTCCCACTGGGACCCTGACACTAAGCAGTACAGTTTTCAGTTCATGTTCCGTCTTCTTTACTGATTGTATCATCGAATCCGTGCGATGCAGTCGAGATTTCCCCAAATGTAGGTATTCATTCTGTAAAATTATTAAGCAGTACATGAGCAGCATACTGCCTAACTAGATCAGGGACTGCCTTCGACGAATCCATCGTAGGTCCGCGCTCTTGTGTGTGATGCAAGCTGAAGCAGCGATTAAAAACGGTGCTGGATTACGGTATGAAGGGTAACTTACCGCAGAATTTTCCCTTATCACCCGGTCGGATACAGGGTCACCACTATCGTAAGTATACGCTGATTCTAGAGGGTACTTGTAGAAATCTTCAATGTCTCCACTGCATAGTGGAAATGAGAAGCCCTACCATGAGATACGTCAGCTGTTTTGGTTGCGATGCTTCTGGCCTGCCTCATGGTATTGGTGAGGATAATCACTACACGGGTGTGAGCTCTCCCTTCGTTCGCTCCTGAGATCTCACTTACCTTGCGTCCCCACCTTCTGCATTTTTACAGCATCCTCGATGTCATTATAAATTTAGTGATTGTCTGTACCCTCGTAGTCAGGTAGGTTCCGTCTTATGCATTTATGGCTCGCTGGCGCATATACATCCCGAGGACTGGTTGGCGATAAGTACTGCGACGTGGCTCACGAAGACAGTGAGGACGAACACCACAGCTGAGAACTTCATGATGACTACCGGAATCGCAAGATGACTTTCGGCAAGGTAACAGTAGGGTATTCCGTGCAACATGTTCAACCCCCTCTACATTCCCGCGAGCACATAGAAGTCCAATGACCTACCACATAAGTCCCACATACAACAGATGCGCCTTTGGATGCACCCTGATGCACGTTTGCCAGGGCCAGCTCTCCCCACATCAATTGATTTTACCAGTGAGTCACTCTAATGACTCAGTCGTACTTCCCTCGTGTTGCCATGCTGTACATGGACGGCAATTGCAATCACACCGCCACAGCTGGTCTCGCTTGGCTTCGCCACTTACATATGACCTTGAAAATGATACTATCTATCCACAGATTCTCGCATAGTCCTTGTGGAAAAGAAGTTCAACACGTTCGGATGTTCACTCACGCTGGACTGCGGGATGTCATTTACTCATAACGATGCAGTTGAGTCAGGATGTCCTTGAGATATGAAACTGAATCATTTGGTGTGTGGACAGGCTATCTAGCACGACTTCTGGATCTCGTAGCCTGGCAGTGTCAAACCATCATATAGGACCTACCATAGGCTGGTATATGTATACTTGTAATTGATGCCTCTGGCGTTGGTTTTTGTGCACCGAATTTAGGACTTATCGGAGACAATTGTGGTGTGACCCCGTATGCGTGCCGCCAGTTGCCAGCGTTCCCAAGGTCATCAAGATCGAATAAAGCATTACTACCAAGCACACAGTATCAGAGTACCAGATTACATACAATAGCGCTACCGAAGCTACAGCAAGACGAGAAATGGGAGTAATACAGATGGTATGACCTACAACAGTTAGCAGAATAACCCACAAGCTTACAACAGAGATCTAAAGTGCTAATTAGTATTACGGTGACCAATCAAGTGAGATCGGATTATCTTGCGCAAAGAGTGTATCCAAACACCTCATTCTTCGGTAGATCGTGAAATGACCAAACAGAATATGAGTGAATAGAAAAATCGGAGTCAGTAGGAGCGTTCATAGCCAAGTACTGCTCCATGCTGCGCTCTTTCATCTCGTTTAGATGGTCATGTCCTAGTGAGCTTGCTCAATTTTCGCCCGACTTTTTTCTCCTTTAAAATCTGTGCCCTTGGTTCCTTCCGGACGTCGTCCTTGGACCAGACCGCCGTTGCCATCTTCTCGACGACCTTACTCTTCCCCACACCATGGGAAGGTTGAACAACTTGAGCAGCGAACAAGGCCGCACTACCACTGGAAGCTGGAACATCACCCGCAGGTTTAGAAGTAGTGGTAGAACCTCGCTTGCGTAACAGATTGGGTCCTGCAGAGATCGGTATGGCCTGAGCGCGACCTTGGCTTGCATGATTGGTAGGCGTCTGGCTTGAACTAACTCGCTGAGCGGACTTCGGTGTCTCATGTTGCAGCATCTGTCCATTCCTGTGAATGTGGCCATCACGTACACCGTGTTCGTCCTCTGAACGAGTGCTCTTGGATTGTTGTTGGGCCTGCAGCGCAGCGCCAGCCTTTCGTCTATCCTCCAATGGCCGAAGCGGAGTAGGCATCACAAGTTGCTTTGGAATGTGACGTGGAGGTAGCGAAGCTTGCGATTGCACACTGGGCGCAGGATGGCGAGGCAGAAGAGAAGCGTCTGGTTTGGGGAGCGAAGTGGCAGGAGTGCGAGTAATGGGCTCATTCTGCAATTCACTCTCTCCCTGTGCATGAGACATGGTAATAGGCCGCGCATTGACTTGGCGAGGAGACTGATGGCGGTCGCCGGATACCGCGGCATATGGTCGTGGAGAGGCGCGTTGAACGGATTCTAGAACCCGAGGTGCGAGCGTCATAATAATCGGTTCGTCAATTTCGCACCCATCGTACGGGTTTTCATCTACTGAACCTTGATCTGCGGGAGGTCGTACTTCGGGCCGAGTGGGAGATTCGAACCGAACATGAGATCTCTGAGACGGACGCTGCTGTAATGGTGGTCGGAGAGTGGAGTCGAAGGTGGGTGGGACGGAAACCATCGGGATGGTAGAAGCCCGCTCATAGGGAGCTTGAGTTGGCGCACTTTGCATTTCTTGACGAGGATATAAATGCCGTGAAGCCATCTGTCCAGGCAAAGGAGATACTTCATGCGCATGTTCCACTTGTTGCTGATCCGCAAGATATTGCCTGTGATCCTGAGGTTTGACGGAACCCGGAGACGAATGGTATGCTTGAGCTGATGGTTGTGATTGTAGATAAGGCGCTTGAACTGCTTGGTATAGTGCAGCCGAAGGAAAAATCTGCCCAGGCTCGACACTGAGCGACGGCATTGAGGACTTGTGCGTAGCCTTGTGGAGTGTCTGTGAGTGGAAATGCCATTTTCGAAAGAAAACGACGACATACCCGCCGTCCTCTCCCTGCACTCTGACTTCCGTGCATCAGCAGATCCGATATAGCGCAATCGGCATCCGCTTTTCTCTGACTCATAGAGCGTGCTGCTTCATACGGTCCACCATGGTGCCACGCAAGGCCTCGAGGATCAGTTTCATCAAGCTCGTCAATGCGGTCGAGGTCGCGCGGAGCACTAACACTTGGACGTCGGCTACGTGTACGCTGGATACTCTGAGTGGAGTTTTGCTGTATGCTTCGCCCACGCTGATCATGGGCATGTGTTTGCGATTGGCTGCGCGTGTGAGTTGGCAGCTCGGGTTTCCGCCCTGGTGCACGAGTCGGCGCCGTGACTGAGCGATTCAAGACTCCGAGTGCAGGGGAGAAATGTGTACGTTGTTCAGGTGCTGAGTTATTGCGCGACAGAATCTCTGGAGGGAGCGCAGCTATGGCAACAGTGCTACGATGTGAAGAGGCAGATACATCGTCTTTGCCTAATGTACGGGGAGGCGGTGCTGGAGACGACGAACGTGGAAGGGTAGAAGTTTGGCTTGTCGCTGAAACGCCTACAGTAGAGGAGATAGGAGAAAGCGATTTATCCTCGGTCGCTTGCGCATGAAACGGAGTCGGGATGGTTGAAGATGGAGGCGTAGAGGGTTCAAGGGGAGATGAATTCGAGGACGAGGTCGAAGAGGGTGGGGACGCTCCGGGCGTAGGTAGGGAATGGGAGGAACAACTACTGGCGATTGACTCAGATTCGGAATCTGTACTAGATGAAGGCGACATAGCAGGTGGTCGCCACATAGGATAGATTGGAAACATGGAAGAAGCGGAGACAGCAGGCGGAAGAGTCCTTGACGTAGGAGGGGGCCTAGGGGGCAGGTGCACGTATGGTGCAACACCATGAGACATAGCACGAGAAGCTGACGTCGCGTAAGGCGCGGGCTGTAACCCGAAAAACCGCTCGGGCTGCACCATATGGGCACCACAAGCGGGCTGAAGCGATAAAGGAATGTTGCGCATGTTAGCTGAATGCGCAGGCGCGGCGTCAGTGACCTTCGACAGAGGTGACGAACGAACTGAACTGACGTGATATCAACGGGGCAGGACAGATCTGCTCGTCGGGAGTCATGATGAAGTGAGGATTGCTCAGTGGATCTGGGGAGAAGGCCAGATCGTTCAAAAAATGCTGAGGAAAAGGTCCCGCTGCCACCGCTACTGGCACAGCATCCGTATTAGAAGATGTACGAAGCGCACGCGGAGGGTGGGGATAAGAGAGAGAATCAGATATGATTTCGTAGGGGGGTGGGGGTGGCGACGACGCGGGACCATGCGGACTTGCTGCGATGCGAGGATAGTCTACGAACTGCAAACCATCAGGATCCGGCAGGAAATTGGGGTCACTGTGAAGATGATCCAGGTGCTCGTGGATGTGCGGGAAGGGAAATCCTGCGACCATATCGCAGCTGAGGAGGGGAGGATGGCGGGAGGGAGAGAGAGAGCGACGGGGTACTATAGAGACTGGGAGAGAAGCATATTATGAGGGCAGGCGCCCAAGCATCATACACGGGCTCGAGCTCTCTCGCCGCCACATCCGGCAAGGCCCACGCGCAGCCAAATAACGCGTCAACACGCGCTGGCCTATCCCAAACGCGTCCTGCGCTCATCTCATTGTTCCACCTTCTATTATCATGGATGTTGCCTCTCTTCGCGCTGAGATCAAGGCATGGGAGCGGGAATTCAGGGGCATGCACTCTCGCAATCCCTCTATCCAAGAAATCAAGGATCAGCCAGCCATAGGTATCGTCACATCCTGTCTCCTGTTATATTCTTCATCTTAACATCCGCCGCGACCACAGCGGCCAAGTACAAGCTATACAAATCTCTTTCAAAGTCATCCGTCTATGCTCCCATCGTAGGGCCATCTACTTCCCGTTCTTCCACTCCCCCTGGATCACAGCCGCGTCAAACTGCTCCAGCATCCACCAGTCTCTTCGCAAAGTCCCGTGCCGTCAAGGTCGATCCCCCCAGCCAGACTTCCAACCCATTTTCTCCAGTGAAGAACAAGGACAAATCTAGAGACATTAGAGATCACGGCACTGTTCAATCAGTCAAACCATCTTCCGATCTCAACCCATTTACAACTCCAACCAAACCAAAACAGCATATAAACTTCCAACCCTTAGCCCAATCACGAAGTCCTTCTCCTGAGCCTTTCCCGCTGATTCAAACCGTACGACCTTCCTCTCCAGTCCTACACACACCCACCGCTCGTTCTGCCGTGACCCGCGCTCGAAAACGCCTTCGCGGCGAGCCGGTCTCTCCGTCTCCTGTAAAAGACAAACGTGTCCGTGCTGATTATCAGCGGTCGCTGAATTTTACGAGCTCGACTTACGATAGCGATGACGACGTGTCTCACGAGAATGGACACTTAGTAGCAAATGGCAGCGAGACATTCATGGAAGCCACACCAATGAAACTGCCTCCAGGGGGCAAGGCGTTCAGACTACTATTCGATGAGGTTCTTCCGGCATCACAGGAGGCCTCGAGGCAACCTGCTAGTCGCGCACTCTCACGTAATAGGCCGCCTGTAGATTCAAAAAGATTTAGTAATAGGAGGAAACGCTCAAGAGCCTTCTCGCCGTCCTCCGGGGAGGACGAAGACGGGGACTGGTCGAGGAGCGGGAAGTTAAAGGGCCTCATGACATCCATTACCGTCCGTCCCACTGCTGAAGATACGAATATACACGAAAAATTGTCAAATCAACGAGGCAGCAAACGTATTCTTCCTCGGGCTGTACTTCCCCCGAAAGACGACTTGCGATCAGATGTAGGACCTTCGAGGGGCCAGGGACCAAAGCACAAGGTGAACGCTGCACTCGGTGATAGGATAAGCATCTCTCAACCAGGTCGCTCTGCTGTCAAACGCCCGTTAGGGAGCGAATTGCAGACGCGTGGCTCCGATGAGCTAGACAGCCTCATGGCTGGAAAAAATTTCTCGCATCGTCTCCCACTTCTTCCGCCTTCACCACCTGCAGAATCGTCGCGATCGTATGCAAGTAATTCAAAGGATCCAAGCAGGAATAAGGCGGCGAGTGCGTTCAGTCGAAAGAAGGCTAGACTTCTTGAGCATGCAGGTGGTGACGAGAGCGATCATGGAGACGAAAAGAGCGATGCCGATGACGGGCCAGTCAAAATTGTGGAGCATTCTTGGCATTCGCGAAAAGCTCAATGCGTAAAGGCAGGTGGCGAGCCAGTCGATGATTATTTTGACTGGTCTCATTCTACCCCTCGGCTTGCCTCACCGGTCTCGAGGGAACTTGCTGCCGAGGCTGGCACTATCGATGTCCAGCTACCAGACGAATTGAAGCGCATTTTGGCATTGTCCTTATCACAGGATGCAGACAAGGAGCAGAAGAGGCTTGTAAACGGCCTTTTATATGGAAGGAGACAGATACACTACGATCCTAAGAAGGGAGAGATCTGGGATATCGGCGAGGTCGATGATAGCACGGATGATATAGCGAAAGACTCTGAAGAAGATTGGGAGAGTGAACCCATACCATGGGAGATAGGTGAGCTCTAGAGCCCTCGAATATCGACGCGGACTTGTGGCGTGGTGCTGCTGTATGTCCCTTTGTTGATTTAAGAGTGCCTTGCGACTGAGTGAATATTATCAGACGGGGTCCCATGTTTCCGACCAATTGCATGGGTCGTATCTACGTACTTTCGGGATGCGGGCGGTTGAATCTCCGTTGCATTCAGGTTGACCGGCGTCGTCAGCTGCAGCGCGTTCAGAGCGTGTCGCGACTTGCGCGTGGCACGTGCACCGTGTTATGGGCGGCCATCGCGTTCGACCACAGCTAAGATGCTGCTGCACTCGCGCATTTGCCTCATTGTTCCTGCATGCAAAACATATATCTCGACATGTTTGCGGCTCTTCACAATGCGATATCATTATATCATTATCTCTTCCCCTAAATAGGCTGCTCCATGCCAAGATGCCACGAAGTATACCCCTGACATCTCCCCGAAGCCCCTCACAACATTGAAGCACCTCGGCCGCTCCTAGATTGTGCCTGCGTTACCTATACAAACGCTCGCATACACTTCTTGCACGAGATTGCGCGTTGGATTCTTTTGATAGATCCCTCCACCTGGCTTACAGCCGACTAGCCTGCCACTGACCGACCCTCGTCCTGACGATCCGCGCGCATCGTTGTCAATAAGTACCAAGCTATCCCTGGATTAACGCTATGTCTTCCTCTCCAAACCTTTCCCGTCGTTCTTCTCTTGCGGACCGGATTGCCTCTGCTATTCCACCTATTCGACCTCGTCTTCCCAGTCTTCGCTCTCGCAAGTCGAACCTTTCTGCATCTTCCCTGAACGCTCAAGTCGACCTTCGTCAGGGCTCGTATTATCGTCCTTATTCTGTTTATCAACAAACCATGTTTCCAGTAATTTTGCGAGATGCAGACGCGACTAACAAACTATTGGAGTCCATTCTCGATGGCCCCGGTGGGCGGCGCTCCCTCGGTCGCCTGGCGCGCACCTGTAACGCACTCAAGGAACCCGTGCTTGATATTCTCTGGCGCGATCTTGATACGTTGACACCCCTTATTGGCCTATTCCCCAGCACAATTCTCAAACGAGCTCGCCGTCCCGGACTCGGATTGGTACGTTGTTTCACACCATGTAATATGGATCTGTGATCTCAGACTGCTTTCATTAGACCAAGAACCCTGAGCCTAGCGACTGGAATCGTCTTTTGGCATACGGAGAGCGCGTGCGTAGTGTGTCCTACGTAGAGGCGTCAGGGAATATCTCCCCAACGATATTCCCTATTCTGGAGGAATTATGCCCGAAGCCGTGGATTCTGCCGAATCTGACTTCGCTTACTTGGAAGTCGGAAACTGCGGCTGGATTAGAACGTTGCAGACTCTTCATGTGCCCCGAACTGCGGAATCTGACCCTGGAGGTTGGCACGAAGCACCCGAGGCTCCATGATCTGCTCATGGAAATTGCTTCCCACACGAAACTCTCGTCCTTCTCCTTTACCATCCACACCAACCTTCCGGATAATTTTACTGATATCTTCGAGCACAATGTTGCGCTCGAGAAGGTTGCAATTGCAGCCCCAGGTGCTTTATCGTCCCGAGTAGGATCATGGGCGGCATCACTCCCCAACCTGCGCAGCTTCCAGATCGATTTGACTGGTCGCACGTCTACCGCAGTTGAAGGCTTTTTCGACGATATCATTCCTGGTTCGGGTTATTCCACTCCGAGTTCGGTCGGTGGGACGGATAGCGGTGTCTTCTCAGCCGACGAATTTGACTTCTCCGAAATGCGCAAGTCCGCAGTCCACCTCACGCGTGACGGACCTGGACACGGCGCGTTTGCTCAACTCACCCAGCTGCAATTGTCTGGCGAGGTATCGAACATCGCAACATTCTTGAGGCACATCACAAGCCCATTGTCTCAACTCGAGCTCGTCATCGACGACCCTCCTGCATCGGAAGACTGGCATGACGTATGCGAGCTTGTGTGCGACCAGTTTTCGCATACCTTGCAGGTCTTTCGGGTGAGCCCCACCTCCGCGTCGAAGTTCAACGAGCTTGTACGATCGACGTCGAGAGGAGGCGAGACGCCAACACGGCATTTACCTCTAACCTATCTTGGCCCCCTTCCGCATCTCCATCGTCTTGATATCGATCTCCCGGAGTCTGTGATCTTTCGGGATGCAGATATCATACACCTTGCCCGGATATGTCCATCTCTTGAAATCCTCCGCTTGTGTCCTCTCGCGCGATTTTCACAAGCAGTTGGACCCCCGTCTTTGACAATGGAGAGTCTCGCTCACCTGACGCGTGCATGTCCCCGTCTCCACACACTCGCGGCAGTAATCAATGCGCTGGAAGGTTCGGAGGAGATTTTTGACACCCATGCCGTTTCTTCGAGGTCATTGCTGCGACTGAACGTTGGGCATTCGTGGATCAAAGATCCCTTCCAGGCTGCTGTACTTCTCAGTCATTTGGCGCCGTATCTTGAAAGCGTCAAGTGGTTCCATGAGAAAAATCGAGCTGGAGCTGTCGAGACCAATGCGCTCGCCTGGCAGAAAGTCTCCGAATTCCTCCCGCACCTTCAGAACATCCGATTGCTTGAGCGGAGACATCAACCACAACCTCAGGTGTATGTCCCTCCTCAAACTGCGGAGAAGGAGGTTGACGCAACTGTACTCTTGATCGACGAGGGTGTGCTGGCTCAGCCGGAGCTCGTAGAGGAAGGAATTCAAGTCACGGTGGAGGCAGCCGATTTTTCAGTTCAGGTGGAACCTGAAATGGCGTCAGTATCTATCGATGCGACACCGGTGCTCGTTGATACTGGTTCGCTGGTTATACCGTGCTTAGTGGAACACGCTGTTCAGGCGTCGGTGGAATCTGAATCTTCTTCCAAAGCAGACGTGCTCTCACACCATATCGCGGATTTCGAAACGACCAAGGTCGACGCTCCTTCAATACTATCTTACCTTCCATCACCTGCGTTGGGGTTAATGTCACTGACCTCCCGAGTCGTTCGCTTCTACACGCTCCCCTTCCGATACATGTTCTCCCTTATGCCTGCGTACTCTCAATCTCAAAATCACTCCATGCAAATAACGGGAGACTTGAAAGACATGATACCCGGTGGAATCAATGACGAGATCGTTCAGGAAAAACAGCATAATGGAACAAATCTGGCGAATTCAGATGTCCCTCAACTTGTCGGTCTATGATTCTTTGTTATGCCAAACGCTGTATGCTTACATATGTATATGACACTCGCCTCGGACGTAGGACACTGCTTATGACTATGCTTATTCGAATGAAAATGAATCCACTGTGCTTCAAGCTGGTAATAGTCTCGAGACCGACGCAGTCGCAGTACGAGCAGAAATACGACAAGGTCACGTGCGGCGTGAATTTCTGAGCGCTCAGAAAGGCAGTCATGAAACAGGCGCGAGCGCGACGCGTCAGTCTAATAACCCGGACACTACCACTCGGACCGCACGCCAGCTTGCGCTGCCCATCTCTTATTCAACTTACGCTATGGCTGAGAATAGGAAACAGGAGAAGGACTATACAAAGGAGGTGGACGAGCTCTTACCAGAAGCAAAATCTCTCGCTCAGGTGCGTCCCCGCTCGTACATCGCCACTCCATAGTGACCGTGTATGTTCAAATCAGTCGGGGAAAGTACAAGCCGCCCTTGATAAACTATTTTCTCTAGAGAAACAGACTCGAAATGTGCGTATACATATCTAACATGATCGCCTTGCTTCTAAACAACATTACTTATGAAGGCATCGGATGCGGCGTCTACTACTCGACTGGTTAGAGCAATTTGCGAAATTTGCTATGAAGCCCGAGACTATGCACTTCTTAACTCGAGTATAAACAATCTCAGCAAGAAACACGGCCAGCTCAAAGCATCGACGCAAGCCATTGTCGAACAAGCAATGGGCTGGCTTGATGATATCCGGAAACGCGAGGGTGATGAGAAGTGGTTAGAGCTGATTGAGACGTTACGGACTGTTACAGAGGGGAAAGTGCGCACATTTCTGACGTTGCGTTATCAAGTCATTCATATCATTTGCATAGATTCTCTTAGAAACACCACGAGCGCGTGTGACCCTGCAGCTCACGCTTTACCATGAGTCGCTAGTCACGAATCCCAAATCTGGCTCCACCTCGACTCCCAAAGAGATCCTCCAGACAGCGGCCGACTTATTGTCGGATCTTCAAGTCGAGACCTACTCTTCGATGGAACGACGGGAGAAGACAGAGTTCATTCTGGAACAAATGCGATTATTGATTGCGCTTGCACGGATCAAGGACGCTGAGGTTGGTCAGGAGGGAAAGAAAGATTCCATTGGGGGTGGCGAGGCTGAATGGGTGAAAGTCCGGGTCGGAGGGAGGAAAGTCAACGAGTCATTCCTCAAAGAGAAGGAGAACGAAGTATGTTTAGCCCTTCATTGCACCAGCTAGATCCGCTTATCCATTTCTCCAGGATCTCAGGTTTAAGTATTATGACATGATGATCCAGTATGCTCTCAAGCAGAGCGCATACCTAGATGCTGCCAAACACTATCATAAAGTCTGGGAAACGCCTTCTGTCAAGGAAGACGTTGTTGGCCGGGGCCGTGAGGTAATTCTCTCTTAGCCTACGACGGCAAATTCTAACTATTTTTCATTCAGGCTCTCGAGCATATCGTGTACTATGTAGTCCTTGCTCCTCACGATAACGAACAATCAGATATGTTACACCGACTCTTCAAGGATCCAGCCCTCGAAAAGTTAGAACTTCATTAGTGCGTAATGGTCAAGTTTTTTTATGTCCCGTTAACTGAATGACATCTATAGTGCACTCATTAAATGTTTTACGACACCAGAACTGATGAGATGGCCTGGGATTGAATCCATTTACGGGCCTCATTTGCGGAAGACCAGCATATTTACGGATGACAAGTTGTGGGAGGACCTCCACACACGGGTCATTGAACATGTAAGCTAAATATATCGTTTTGTGCATACCATCTGTTTCTAACAAGCAATTCCACCCAGAACATCCGTATAATTGCTCAGTACTACACGCGGATCACATTACCTAGACTGACCTCACTTCTCGACCTGACCCAACGAGAGGCTGAGGAGATATTATGCAGACTGGTGGTATCTGGTACTGTCTGGGCGCGGATTGATCGACCAACAGATATAATAAATTTCCGAAGTAGCAAGAGCGCGGAGGACGTGATGAACGACTGGAGTTCAGACATGCAACGACTCCTTGGTCTGGTAGAAAAGACTTGGATGGGTGTAAATGCTGCGCAAGCGGCGCAGTCACGGGCAGTAAAAGCATAGTTGTCTTTGCTCTATTGAGCAGTATTACGATAATAGTATTGAGACTCATGGGCTACGAGGGATGACCCTCAGGTAATCTGCCGTTTTCGTAGCAAGCTCAGCTTTGGTATACGGCGTTTTGGGGATGGCACTAGTCAAGCCAGCCGGCGTGATTTTCCTCTCGGTGAGCAGCGGTGCGTAAGTGGGTCGAATGCCCTTCTGCCAAAGCCGAACATAATCTTGCCCACGAGTCCAAGGTGCCGGTGGACCCTCCCTCTCAACGATCGCCTTCCATCGTTTCCGCGCCGCATTCTCTCCAGCATTGATCTCGTCACTCTTGGCCCAAGAGTCAAGAGCCTCCTCTTCCTTCCGGAAAGCTATTTCGACCTGTGACGGGCCGAACTCGATACCGTAATGTTGCGCCTCAAGAAGAGCGAACTTGGAAGCAAACTGTTGCTCAGACCGGAGAGACCGGAACTGAGATACAGCAGATAAGTAGGCTTTCGTCAGTGGCTGGCCGTGGCTGAAGTGCAGATTGACTGCGAAACGGACAGCGCTGTTCAAAGTCAGACAACGACGACATAAGAAGAGAGGCCAAGGAGTGTGCGTACTCTTCTGGCATAGGATTCCTGCCCCGTTGAATTAACCGTGTCCACTCCTTCCCTTGAATTGGGTGTTCTTCTTGGATACCCGCACCTTCTACAAGGGTGGTGGCACGGAACGCCTCGAATGGGTGGTCACGAAAGAACTGTCTGCGAATAGTATCCTCCGCGTAATGAACAGGTGCAGGACGATTTCGAGCCTTTTGCGAAATAGATTTCGTGAAAGAGGCTGGGGATGATGGCGTAGGAGGGAGATCGTATTGCGATCGAGCGGGAGGTGCCTTTGGAGGGAGAGGGAGCGGAGGGTAGCTGAGGACAGCCTGATACCATGCTGGCTCTTTCTTGAGATAACCTTCACGAAGGAGACGAGATGCTTGTTTATGGACCTGGGACGCAATCCGCCTCGACATCGTCACTTGTCGCGTCCACCGCGTCCTCTGACGCTTCACCCTTCGAGCCACTGGAAGCAAATATGACTATACAGCGTCGTGCTCGTGACTTGGACCGACGCGCCACCTTGGCATAGTTATTCACCCCAGTAGACTCAGCTATGTTGAACTTAACTTGTGTTGCGGCGACATGCTAAACCAGACAGTACTGCAAGCTCGATTATCTGTTCGACAACATACGGAACTCTATCATTACACCGCTACGTTATTAGGGCGTTATAATGATTGCTAAGTAAAGGATCACAGGAGGCTCGTGAGGCTAGAATGAGCGCATTGTCGGCATTCTCTGGTGTCCAAATTGCTGTAAAAGACACATACCTGCAAGACGGGATACGCTATGTGATCTTGCCCCGTTCATTTGTTCTTTGGTGGCTCCACGCAACTGCATGATGACCAGGAGCAGTTTCCGGTACTAGCATCCTTGCCGGCGCACTCGAATGTGTCCTGCACATGGCTAAGATGCCTGAATCATATCCGAAAGAGCCTACTCACATTCATTCCAGATTGAGCGGTGAAGATCGTATGAGGCGAAGGGTAGAAAGTGGTTTGTGCTAGTGGTCGCGGACTGAATATCATGGCAGAGTGGTGGTCTCGTATCGAGAATGGTGCAACTACGTGGGTCGCAGCTCGCTTTTCAAGCCGAGCTACCGATCATGGGTTCTGAAATGTTTGTAAAAGGTAGTGAAATTGCCTGTGTTTTATTGGCGCAACCGTTCAAGTGCCGGGATGCATTATAGGTGCCGTAATTTAAACTGACCACCGCTGATCCACTCAATTGGGATTTGACACCTCTCTTCAACAGCCTTCGCATATGTCATTGGTCATAGTGCGATCTCAGGGTTACCGTCTGTATTATGAGTTATCACGAAGTACGTGTTATATTGCTACAGCTTCAGGGTGGTTGTAGGCCAGCAAACTTGTATTTTCTTCCCTTGGTCTGGCTTGTTGAGTGTCGTCTCACGGTCAAAGATATCCACTGAATTTAGAACACAGATGTCAGACTTGGCACCAGGTGCTAACTGTCTATAGCAACCAGCAACGAATTCGCGAGCAGCGATTGGCACCAGCACCAAATACCAAAACGGACATTATTTGACGCTCCATGATGGCGATCTAATCTGTAAAGTTCACAGCTGGCACATGTGAAGTTTGTATTGATTCAGTTGATTCACATTCGATGGAAGCATCGCGGGTCCACCTGGTACCTAGCAAGCAACAACATTTCATCTGGCTGCGGACGGCGAGTCATCAGATATAATTTCAGAGCGCATGCGGTCATGCTCTCAGAAGTACAGCGCGAATGTCTACAGAAACCCGAGTGAGCGTCCGTTTAGCTGCGGATGGGACATTAAGACGCGTGGGCGAGACGAGCTATACTAATCTCTGTGGTTGACATCGGCACGGACAGTTCGGCCCAGACTCAAGTGTTTAAGACAAATGCACGCCGTTACATTGGCCATTCCTTGTTCGGCATAAATTCTGGTACGATGCTGACGTGATTCGGATATACTCATGTTTTTGACTGAATTCATGTACTCCCAGAAGCCCGCTCAGGTGCCATTCAATGTACTCGTTCCAGAGGAAATAGCAAATCCTGTAAAAAATTGAAACATCAATGGTGAGTTGTGCCAGTGTAATGCACATATTGACATTTCGGTTCAACTGTCAGCGTCAGGCGGCCGAGCTGAATATCCGTGGTACGTCATACAAGAACGTCACAGGCTCACGACAGGAGCTGGAAATTTGGAATTTGGCCATTGGTTTCCACGCTTTTGCTCACGTATAAATTGATCGAAGTAGAACTGCACAAACACGTATGAGATTTTAGTTACGTACTTGAAATTTTGCTCTGGACGGTGTTCGTTCACGGCCCCCTAAAGGATACGAATATACCGGCGTTCTATACTCATGACGACCATAGTATGCCTTCAGTACGGGCCGCAAGCTGTGCAGGTCAAATAGCCGCCCTCGTGTATGGGAATATCACTTTTGAGAAGTTTGTGGAAGAGGTCAAGAACGAAGATATCCGCTCAAATTCTTCCTTCTCGAAGTGCGCTACACGCGTCAGACGCCTGGTATCTATGAAAAGGCCCCTCGCTGTGTGTGACTTAATCGCTCAGTAGCAAGAAGCGTGAATTTTGCTGCTTACACCGAACATGGCCGTCCGTACCAAAGTCCTGGACTTCAAAACAAGACATCGCGCTGTCAGGCTACAGAAAGTAAAGGTGTCACGGGGGTGAACATGATGTGCGGTGCGACACAAAACTCTTCTCCTTGCAGGGTTCCAGCAGATCACGAGGAATGCCGTTGGTGGGGACTCATACTCATCGCCATGATTGGCAATCCAAACCCGTAGAAATCGCCAGACATGAGCGAAGCGAGATAAACGCACCCTTGTAGATGCAAACGCGGGGGGACGGCGTGGTGTTCAGGACTTCAGGTGGGTTATAATCTTAACCACGGACATCAGGAAGTCTTTCCATTAAGTAGCACTTGTACACGTCTGGATACTAGGCCAGGTAACCCCAAGCCGGGCGGCGTGTGTGCAAATGGGCTTTCTACGTGAGGTTGCAAATCGTCGACTGAGCGGACAGGGCACTATTTGCAGGGCAAGCGGTCCGCGGACAACTGTGACATGAGATATTGCGGATCTCCGCTAGAAGAACGGATGGTATCTACTAGTGAAATGAGCCAGACGCATGTGAGGCTCGAGAATAATGAAACATACTGTTGCGTCTCAATCTTGGGACCCCCTCATCGAGGCGTCCGCGTGTTTGGTGTAGGGAGTCATCTTCTTTGTCCAAGAGAAGGCACCTCCGATCATTTGCACCATCGAAACGGCAAGACCAATCTGATAAGATATCGCTTGACGAGCTTCGATAGTCTGATTGAACGTCCATATGTACAACTTGCGGAGGCGGCACGCAGCCGGCGTGAAGCTTGTCCAATTCAAGCTACAACATTTATCCCGCCCACATGCAACGGCACCTTTGCACCTATTATAAAAGAAGTCAGCTCTTAGCTCAGGTCACACTAGTCCAACCCCAAGTACCACAACTACCGCTTACATTTTACCCCTCTATCTGAATTGTATATTCACAATGGCTGTGAGTGTCCTTGGTTCCGAATACGACGAAGCTACATGATTCAATGTTCTTGCAGGACTCCACCAAGCAGTGCGCTAACGTCCAGGCCAACGGTGGAACCTGCTCCTGGCCGGCCTGCGGCTGCGCCGAGCCGCCCAAGAGCAAGTAGCGGGCATATCTCACTTTGCCAGCCAGAGGTAAGATCTCCAAATGGACGTATTCACAGGAAGCGCTAACGAAAGGCGGTGCTAAGCGGGCGGCGACAGTCTAAGATCGTCCAAGCTCGTAGGATTATGGCAGCGGCTCTTAGTATATCGTCAACGTGTCATTTTAGCATGTATTAAATTGAAGGTTCGTGCTCAGGATCCTCTAGTTCGACACGCGCGAATAAACTTGGAGGACACACACCTAAGAACTCCACATATACTATGGGGTAAGATATCGGCTTGGACATGGTTGCCAGCCAAGTCAGGTTACGAAGATTGAAGCAGAATAAGTAGTACTACCGGTAGTATCAAGTATAGTCTATCGGCGCGTTTGCTAATACCAAGAGCGGCGGCGGCGGCGGCGACAGATTGCCCGCTTTACCATAATAGGCATGTGGGACGGTTCGTGCCTTGCGCAGTTCAATCAATGATGGACGTGTTTGCTCCCGCATTGAACGCTGAACTTATCAGGAATCTAACAGGAATATGTACTACTCACAGCAAGCCGCTTTTGTACACCAGAAGGCGGCGCGTGCAAAGATGGGTGCGCAGTGCAGCAGGCCTGGGCTGCGTCGCAGTCACAAGAAGGGTCACGGTTTGCCCAATCTCAACGCGCCGAAGTAGTGCCGACCTCTCAAAACTCGCCTTGCACCATCCTCGTAACCGATCAGTGACCTTTCTCCGCTCTCACCAGAGCAAGATGGCGTCCCTCTCCGCGTATGTCGTCCAGCATCCGTCCGTGTATCTCTACGTCGCGCCCGTCTTCGGGCTCGCAGCCCTCTCGGCCACGCCACCCCTCATTCCTCTCGTCCTCCTGCTAACCACTCTCCACCTCCACGTCCACACGTTTCTGCCTCGCCGGATGGCTGGGACCCATGGTGTAGCCCAGGTCATACTTTTATCCATGGCAGCAAGCATTACGCATTTCTCAGCTTCTGTAAATGCTCTATCAACACCTACAGTCTCAGTCGTTGTCTTGTGGTCACTCTCAGCCCTCACTGCCTTCGTAGCACTGTTCACAATCGGTGTTTCGTTCTACGCCAACAGGTTTGCTCGCACCCCTTGGTCAAAATTAACGTTATTCCCGGCTGTCTGGGCTACTGCCTGGGCCGCCGTGTCACACATCAGCCCTGTCGGCCGCCTCATCACATGGAGCCCAGTAACTGGACTTGGGATGTATGGTTGGCTCCGTCCAGTATTTGGACAGTGGGGTCTAGACTGGGTAGTTGCCGCCTGGGCTGTTGTTTTTGCGGACACAATCGGGCGGTGGTTGGTAGGTTCACCCCACGGTGATTTTGACGACACTGCGAAAGTACAGGAACCGGTGGACCTGATTGGATCGGAGGATGCTTTGGAAGACAATCAGATCTCCCAACGTGCCCCGTCACTCCCGTATACGACCCGACACATTCTGACGTTGACATGCATTCTGGCCCTCCTATCGGCACCATCATTTTTCATCCCAAACTTACCTGTTTCTACGATATCGACCAACGCAGTTACCAGCCTGAAAGTTGGATGCGCGTTGCCCGACCCTCGGCAATCCGGTCATCAGAAGCATGCGCCAACCTTGGACGACTTCATCAGTGAGACGAAGACACTTCAGAGTAGCGCCGACATTATTCTCTGGCCTGAAGGAGCTGTAAAGTTTGAGACGACTAGTCAGAAGGAAACAACGTTCAAAGACATCAGCGGTTGGTTACAGGATAAACATCTCGTTGGCGTCAGTTTCGAAGAATTTACGCTCAGCCCGCCTTCGGATGGATGGCGGTCATCTGGGATGAGGAGAAATGGGTTTGCGCTCCTCAGCAAAGAAGGTTCAGTTTTGGAGTACTACAAGCGGAAGCTAGTTCCAAGTACGTTTAGATTATTTATTGATGGTATTTGTCTTACTTTTTTTTGTCCTATCTTTCCCAGTTGCAGAATCGTTCTCGTTGACGCCTTCGTCTGACCCACCGGCTATTTTCGAATGGGAGTTAGCATACCCTAATAACTGGAGCAAAACGAAATGGGGACTGAATGGTACTCGGTCCATTCCCATTACAGCATCTATTTGTCTGGATTTCTCTTCGGCGTCATCATTTGAGGCTTTGGCATCGCGCCCTGCCCTCGTCCTCGCACCTGCACGGACATGGCATACCGGCGTTGGGTATGCCATGTGGGAACAGGCGAGGGCGCGTGCAGAAGAGCTGGGTAGCATGGTTCTCTGGTGCGACGGTGGCGACGGTGGCGTCAGCGGCATCGCTGGCGGTGGGCTGCAGGAAATCGTCCAGGTCGGCCAAGGATCTTGGAGTAGGCGGATTGGAGTGCAGTATCCGTTCGACCAAGGCCGCACACTCTTCTCGCGTGGAGGAGGTTTTGCGGCGTTGGTGACGGCATGGGGCATTGTGGGAGTTGGCTCAGTCCTCGATGTGATCCTACTCAAACTCCGGGCTGGTGGCAGAGACCACCAAATCGGACGAGCATGGGTGCTCAGGAGGATCAATGGCATCGGGGAGACTGTCAGGAGCTGGCGTCGACGCAACCAGAGAGATGACGAAAGGCCGTTGCTCGAGTAACATGTCTCATATAGTGCCTTTCTTATGTGTTCCAAGATGCTACGCTCGTTCTGTGATTTGTGGCGAATTGTCTCAGTTATATTGGCGACTCTCGTGTAATCATATGGTGTCTGATCGGTGAGTTTAGTAGCACCTACGTACTCAATCGTCGCTTGTGGCTTCTGTCGTATCGGATTGATCTTGACTGTTGGCCTCTGTCGCTTAGTGCTAGTTGACGTAGTGGAATCTTGGGCTGTCGTCACTGCTCATGTCTGCCTCTAATCTTCAGCCTGAGATCATGCATTGATACGGTGAGGTAAATGGACGACCATGGCGCCCTCGCGACAAACGTCAAGATACCCGGCCGCAAGATACAAGCGACGGGCTTGCAATGGTCTGCTAATCGCCTGGTCAGATGCCATTGCGGGCGGTACGGGCCAGTGCGCCCAAAAACATGGAATAGCTCCAAAGGGCGATAGATTTCCCCTCGCCCTGCAGTATTCTAGACACGATCGCGAGACAGCCGCGCACTAGCAGTCTTCACGCACTGCACGCAGTCACCGCAAGGCTTCGAGTTTCAATGGGCCCGGTGGATGGGGCGAACGTGGTGCCGCAGAGATATGAGAGAAGCCTATCAGGGACCGATGCCATGCAGCAAAAAGAGGAAGCCGGGGTAGGCGAAGGTGGCGGAGGATGTGAAGCGTACGCGAGGTTCTCTTCATCTCCGCGACGGGCATAATCATTGTAGCTGGTGCGTCGAGCTCGTCGAGGACGACGATGCAGAGGATATGCGAGTCGTATTGCGGGATGTACGGGTGTGAGCGCGGTGTTTGTACAGCGAGCTCAGGCAAAGAGCGCGCGGGAGACGCCCATATTGTGTAGACTCTCTCGCATTGTGTCTGGCGGACACGAGGCGGGTCGTGCTTATTTTCTGCCTCTGCGGAGGATCTCGTTCGTGGAAGAGTTCTCCTCTGCCTGCTGCTGCCAGCAGGAACACACGCGCCCGATTGTCGTCGACTACCTTTTAGTCTCCACCGTCGACCTCCTCCACACAGGTCGCTTGCAAGACCTCGTAAGTCACCACGCATCCATCCGGGCACCGCATCCAGTCGAGACTCGCTCCCAGCCTTCCTGGCTCGCTGCGTGCCTCGGCAAAGCTCTTTGCTAGCTCATCGAGCTCTTCTCTTTCTCCCTATCCAGGTCAATCCGCCTCAAGAAAGGCCCTCGTCCCCGTTCCAGAGGAACACCTCGCCCTTTCCGATCCGTGGGCAGACGATTTCGAGCAGATCTCCTACGACGAGCTGCGCGCTTCCCTCCTTCTTTGCGACGCCTCTGCCTTGTATCCCGGCATCGGTACGTCCCAGTGCGCCTTTCCCGGTCTACGTTTCCGTTTGACCTCCGTTCCAGATAGTCAAACGCCTCCCAGCCCATCGCTTCTGAACCGATCGCGCTCGTCGTTTGCACGTCTCAGAAAGCTTTCACGCCTTTCCCTCAAGAAATCGCGCCAGTCATTCGAGAGGTCGCCCGAAGCAGACAGCTCGCTGACCCAGACACACACTCCGGCGCCGGATCAATTCGCTCTTGTACTCACTCCGCACCCAACATCTCCAGCCCGATATTCAAGCTCGAGCCATCCGAAGTCGCCTTCTCGCACTTCTCCGGTCGAGGACTCGTTCTCTGCCTTCTACGATAGTGATCCGTTTCGCAAGGTCGAATCCCCCACCGAGTTCGACGTCCCTGAGTTTCGGACGTCATTCCAGGCTGCAGGAGAACGTCTTGCCGCTGATCCAGAACCTCATCCGCCGCCTTCACCTCGACCTCGTGTTGTCGTCCCTTCATCTACCGGGCTTGATTCCAGCAGCACTCGCACGACATCGCACAAGCCTTTGAAGCGCCTGAAATCGTTTGCAAAGTTACATCTTCTTCCTTCTTCCCGGAAAACCACATCAGAGGCTCAATCAGTCTCTGCTGACGAAACCCCTGAGGACTCACCAGCTCGTCTCCCGACCGTCGAACGGCTGTTTCCTGTAGACGACGACTTATTGCCCGAGCTCTCCTTCGATCGGCTTGACTTTTCGACTGTCTTCGACGAGAACTCAACTCGGCTTTCTACATCAACGCGTAAGAATCTTCCTTCTCTGCCCGAGGCTGTTGAGACATCCGACCCCGATCTTGCGAACTATCTCTCCAATTTACAAGTATTCCGCTATCAACGAGTCGATCCTCGTGACTTGACAGCGTCTGCACGGACATCCACTGTAATTGGTTTCTCTCCTACAGCTACGCCCCTTCCTCCTCCTTCGCCGTCTTGGTTATCTCGCAACGTTAAAGACCTCGAGTTTTACGCTGAGGAGACACCTCTTCCGATCCCCCCACCTTCACCACCACCGCTGCCCATTCTTCCAAGATCACTCCTCCCAGTTCCTTCCAGACTTGACACAGAATCTTATGTAAGTGACGTCCTATTCCCATCCCCTTCCGTGTTGGATACTTACTGGCGAGGGTTCAGCTGTGTACTGACCCTTGGGACGTACCAGAGAGCCCACGTTCGACAGCCTCGTCTGTGACGCTGTATTCTCCTTCCTGTCCTGCATCACCTGTCGAATCTTCCCCCTGCTCTCGCCTTCGCCCACCCTCTCTAAACCGTCTGTCCGTGATCCACTATCGCCGGTCTCTTGTTGACAGACACAGTAACGTCCGCTCGATTATCGAATACGGTTCTATTGCATACGCGCAGTACCAAGTTCCTAGCACCCCTGAACCTTCAAGGGTATGTGGATGCTGCTTCTTGTGTATGACGGCACCACACTGACCCTGCCCGATTCAGCGATCGTCTCTTAACTTTCTACTACTTTCACCGGGACCCCAGGAACTCACACTTCCTCCACTTGCGCTCTTCGATTCTGGTGAGTACTCACCAAGGTGTACGTGCGGTAGACACGAGGCGGAAGAATGACTGATATTTCAAATAGACCATCCCCCACCTTCTCCTTCTGATAACTCCAACCTCCCTTCTCCATCCCGTCTTTCAAGCACCGCCACTTACCGCATATTCCTCCCATCTCGGCAAGCTTCACTCGACTGCGAGCCTGACCATCTGCCTATCCCCGATCATCTCCTTGCCATTGCAAAGCGCATATCACAAGACTCCCAAGCCCTTACTAATATGTCCATGAACGCGCTGAACAAGTCTGCGCCGACGGTCGATTGGGGCGATGAAGTCGACTACTCAGGCTATGAGTGGTTCAAGGATCCGCCCCAAAAGCCAGAAGTAAATTTTTGTCACTATATTGGTAGAGATACCGGCTGATATCTCTTGATCGTGAAGCCCGTCCCGCCCTCAGTCATGGAGAACTATGTGCCTCCGCCCGCCGTCGTCGAACAGAATGAAATGTTCGACTTTGCGCTCAAGAGCGCCCCAAACGTGCTGTACGCTCGGTACAAGCAGTACGGACAGGTCAGTACTCACCCGGCGCCACGGCCAGCTGCGGCTTACCCTTCCCCCCGCAGCTCGGAGTGCTCGCCTGGTGTTCCGAGTTTAGTGAACTGATTGACGCGCTCAAGACGCTCGGCTTTGACGGAAACATGTTTGTGTCAACACGGACGCAGGCCTTGCGAGCGTGTGAGGACATCCTCAAACTTAAGCTCAAGATTGAAATGCAGATTATTGTCATGTATCTGTCGTCGCAAATACAGCGGCTACGGCGGTTCTTGGATGGAGACGGCCATTGGGACGATTATCCCGAACTGAATTTCCCGCTGGACCCTCGTGCATACTAGTAGCTTTACTTATCGTATCGTTGCCTGTCTTTTCTCTCATGTCGTATGTAAGGTTTCCTCGGGCATGGATTACTCACTCTGCACATTTGTATCTATACAGTCATTCAGTCTCGTTCTTGTCAATGTCATTAATTGCAATTCTATTCCACATGGGTCATAACTGGTTTGACTGAAAACAAAAGAAGCAATAGCAAAATAATAATTACTGCACGCGGAATCCAGATACAGCAACATCTACATCTGATTGTCCCAAGTAGCAGCAGTCGCAAGTCAAACCTAGAAAGCCACCTCCCATAACAGTCAGTATTGCGAAGTTCGTACTCAATGAATAGTGATGTCTAATCAAAGTCCTGAATGTGGTAGTGCAGTGTGGTATCATAGTCAGTATCTTGAAGGTACAGCTGCATACTGCGGTCGGTACTGCGAAGACCCGCTGCCAGCAGTGGCGAGAGAATGCGGCAATGAAGATCCTTGGAAAGTCGTTAGGCGAGGAGGGTCGGGTAATGGGTTAGCGAGATATGTACGGGACGCTGAAGGAGGGTCGACATGAGTATCGGGAACAGGAAAAGGGACGCGATCCGAGAGAGATCGAGAAACTTGCCTCTGGCGAGGCGCCGCTGAGTTGTTAGACTGCTGGGCATATGGTACAGACGAATAAATAATCGGAGGAGGGGGAACAGGCGCATGGCCTTGTACGGGAGCCTGGACCATGAAGTACGTATGACTTGAACCATGTGCGGGGGCAGGTAGCGTCGTTGCCCTGTGCAAATCCGTGACACTCGGAATAGTGCCTGCAGCACGTACATCACCGCTCATGAATGTCGAGGGACGCGAGCCATCTCGAATCGTCGGAGGAGTGGGAAAAACTGCAACGCCGTCCGGCCCATAAGTCATGCTCCTCGCTTTCCAAAGTCTCTCCATTTCCCAGGCTTCCTTAGCTTTGAGAGTGTTCATATCTGCAGAGGATTGCAGATATGATGTAGGCCGACCGGACGCTGAAGTCTGCCTGTCGTGGCGACGATATGGAGTTGTCTTGGAGCTATGACTCGCCTCTGGCTCATGTTCCCGTCTCTGGCTAGTACGTGACTGGCCATCGTGACCATAAGCACGCCGAACAGTATCCACGCTGGGAGTTCGCGTGGATCTGCTCGTGGAACTGGTCTGCTCGACGGCTGCACGTTCATTCGCAGAGCGCTGTCTCCGATGTTGACGGTGGTCACGTTCCTCAGAGCCACCACTAGGCTCCTGTCTTCTGCTATCCGGAACAGCAGTAGGGTTTCCGTCCTCTTTCGAGTTCGATCGCACCGTTTTTTTGCTCTTCTTTGGGAATAGCTCTGACGGAGACTCGACAACCTCCCACTGCTCACCCATTCCCACAATGACATCGCCGTTGGAGGGCGCATTCCCAGAGGAACTGCGGACTAATTTGAACGTTTCAGTCTCCCTACGTCTCGTCGTGCTTGGTGACTTTACATGGGCGCCTTCCTTCGCTTTGGAGGGAGATCCCTCACGATGTTTGTGGCTCTCATGAGAAACGACAGGCGTAGTCGTCGCCTTCGTCGGAAACATGACCATGGGTGCGACATGAGGGGTAGGTGGGTTGACCAAAATCGACGCTCTCGCAAGTGTGGGGTCATCCGCAGTCCCCGATACGGCAGAAGGAGCATACGCAGTCAGCCCAGATGCAGATGCAGCATAAGATCCCATATCCAAGTTATGTGTTTGTGGAGAGGATAGGATGGTGGGCTGCTCCGTGAACAGCGAGAGTGGTCGCTCAGTCGCCGGCGTAGGAGGCAACGAGTGATTAAACGGCCTTCTTGGGGACGACAGCGACACATTAGAGTCGAAAAGGGACGTCTGACCCTCCACCGATGTATCCACAGGGGGCAAAACGGGTGCTCCAGACATTACAGGCGACATCGAGGCAGAAAGCTCCGGTGTAGGCTGAGCATCTTCAGCAGAAAGAAGTTGACTTTCAAGCTTGACCGGCTCAGTCACGGCGTTTACATTGGGCAATGGACTCTGCACCTCAGCAGGAGACCGGTCAGCAGAGCCAGGGCCGTCTGGATTTGTGATTGTCAACTTGCCCAGTGCTGACGAATCCTCCACTGATGTAGCTGTCGAAGCTCGTTCTAGGCCCGCTGTGGTGTCATTGACAGTATGAGCGAGAGATTCGTCATCGACAGACGGAGGCGGAATCCTTTTTGACGAATCAGGGCTTTTGGCACCATTCATTAGCGAGCGCGCAGCCGAGTTAGGTGACTTGACGCTCGCAGACGATGGTCCCAAATCTTCGCTAAAGTCGCCGCCGGATGTAGGGCTGACAAGGATGTTGCTAGAATGCTTAGCCAGATCCGGCTTTCGCAAAACACTGAAACGCTTAGCGAGACGGCCCATAAAGCTGCTATGTTTATCCTTCTGCGCAGACCCTGGGTGCAAAGAAGTGACAGATGCAAACGCCACTGGTGGATCCACGGTAGACCTACGCCGAAACATTTTCCGTTGGGTAGAATCGTCAAGCCTGTGCGCCCGCACGGGCTCCGAAGGTGCTGATGGCGACTTAGGATGCAAGTGAACGTTGTCTTGACTTTGGCTACCAAATAACCCGACGAATGGTTTGCGACGTTTGCTGAACCGTCGAGAAAGGTTGGATGAAGCAGGCTCCGTGGTGTGAAGATGTAGCGCAGAGGTTGACTGAGATAGCGGAGATGGTGTGACGGTTTTATGGCGACCGCCACCCGCATTAAGACTCATCCTACGCGCGCGAGGCTCCGTAGGGTTCTGTTCGGCATCATGGCAAATTAAACCACTGTTAGTGGGGGGATGATGTGGCTCACCTCAGCATCATTGCGCAATCCCACATCATAGGGAGACTCATGGTGCCAATTAGTGCCTGTAGGATCCGTCACGTCGAGCATGTCGACGTTATCTGTTTGAGATATCTTTCGAGTTCGAACGCGCCCACCTGGGTCCGTTATCTTAAGCTGAGAAGAATTCGGTGTTGGAGACGGAGATCCAGAAGGTGTTCTGCTCATGGTAGGTACTCGAGTGGATTCCTGAGATCGTTCTGCGGCGGAGGGCATGGGTGGAAAAGACGGTGAGAATTGCGACGGAGGCGAATTCTCTTGCGGAGGAAGTAGATGGTAATTGCGGTACCAGCGTGGACCAGCGGAATTATGCATGGGATATCTAGACCTGAGTGACCCAGGAGAGTTGGCCGCCGCCCAGCCGTCGGTATCGGTATGGAACCATGGCGGAAGCTCAGCGAGAGGGTCGGGAATAAGAGATGTCGCCGGCAGCGTAAAGAAGTTGCGAAGTTGACTGTGCTCATCGCCTGGTGCGTCTCTGTCCTTTGCGCTGCTGGTTCGCGATTCTGTAGGAGTTAAAGAGGGATTTTCAGATGGAGGGGCATCGATGGCCGGCTCCGCAGCCTTCCTGACAGACTTGCGCGACAAGAAACTCCTGCCGCCCTCGGGCTTGTGCGCTTTGTCTCGTCCCATCGTCTTCGCGTCCGTGCCGTGGTCGAAAATATTGAAGAAGGTCGTGTGGATGGAATGCGGCCACCTCGAGACTGCGGCATAAACGAACACCAGTGAGCGCGCTCTCTCTCTCTTGCTCGCTCGCCACCGAATAACTGTATGTGGTGGCTTGCAAAAACTCGACGTACCTGGTCGTGAGGCGGAATGTAGTGCCCGGGCGGGGACAGGTGGGGGTTACGGGGGAGAGAGAGGGCAGAGGCGCATTGAGAGGGCCGTACGCGATCTTTCTCGCTCACTGGGCACACGCTCCGCCACGAGTCGGCTCCCGCGTGCACGCTGGCCGGGGTCCTCCTCTCGCCATCTCTCAGATCGGCGATTGCCTTTCGCTTTTCTGCTCTCTCTATCTCTTCCTCTCTCGCCTTCCCATGTCCCTCAGAGTCCTCGTCGTCGGCAACGGCGGTCGAGAACACGCCCTTGCCTGGCGGCTATCGCGTTCCAGTCTCGTCCAACAAATTTTTGTTTGTCCTGGCAACGGTGGGACTTTGCGCGAGCTCAAGACAAGAAATGTCGATCTACCCGCGTCCGATTTTGCTGCACTTGTCGATTTTGCTGTGAAAAATGAGGTGCGTTGCCGTTCGCCTTGTCAAACTGCGCCTGTGTTGACTTTGCTGCAGGTATCTCTGGTTGTCCCTGGGCCAGAGCAGCCCTTGGTGGATGGGATAGAAGCCCACTTCCGCAAAGGTAACCTCGTGCTCTTCGTCATTTGCATCTCACCGGACAGGATGTTCCATCTCATTCAGTCGGAATCCCTGTCTTTGGACCTACTGCTGTCGCCGCACAAATGGAAGGATCTAAGGCTTTCTCGAAAGCTTTTATGGATCGCCACTCTATCCCTACTGCAAAATTCCGAGTGTTCTACTCAACAGAGTTTGATCAAGCTGTCGATTATGTCAAGTCTTGCGGCTTTCCCGTCGTCTTAAAAGCCAGCGGTCTGGCTGCTGGAAAAGGCGTCCTATTACCAGCGACCATCGACGATGCGATCACTGGTCTGCGAGAGATCATGCTGGATCATGCATTCGGAGCAGCAGGTCTGCGACTAAATCGATGTACATATTTCTCGAGAATAATATTCATTCTTGTCTCAGGTAGCGAAGTTGTGATTGAGGAGCTCTTGGAGGGGCCAGAAGTATCCGTGCTAGCATTTTCTGACGGGTACACCATTGTACCACTTCCCGCTGCACAAGACCACAAACGTATCGGAGAGGGCGATACAGGGCCGAATACGGGTGGTATGGGTGCTTATGCTCCTGCTCCCGTTGCTACCCCGGCTGTGATGGATCGAATCATGAGAGAGGTCCTGCAGCCCACAATATCCGGCATGAGAAAAGAAGGTGTGTGCATCGGGGAGACCTCATGTTATCATTTCTGAGACGCGCACCCCATCGCAAGGGTTTCCCTTCGTTGGAATGCTGTTCACAGGTCTGATGCTCACAGCATCGGGCCCCAAGGTGCTCGAGTATAATGTTCGCTTTGGCGATCCGGAGACAGAAGCTTTGATGCTTCTGCTTACGGATGACACCGACCTGGCAGCCATTTTGCTCGTAAGGACCATCCAAACCGCACCAACTTATCCTTTTAACGTCTCTTCTCAGGCATGCGTGGAGCGGCGGTTAGATGCTATCAATGTCGGAATCCGTCCTGGGTTCGGGGTCTCTGTTGTACTAGCGTCGCAAGGCTATCCCGGAAGCTATCCAAAAGGCAAGCAGATCAGTACAGGTGATCTCCCTCCCGGTAGGTCTTGTGGATTGTCCTCTCCGCCCTCACGTCCACTCACAAGCACACTCTTCGTTTCTGATCCAAAAGGCGTGGTCGCTTTCCATGCGGGCACGACCCAGAAAGGCGACCAGATTGTCACGTCCGGTGGTCGTGTGATCGCGGTATCAGCGTATGCGCCGACGCTGGCTGAAGCGCTGGTCTTGGCTTATGCCGGCGTCGAGAAAGTGTCATTCGACGGAAAGACGTTCCGAACTGATATCGCGCACCGGTATGCAGACTGGGAATTGGCGAAGACACGGGCTAACCAAATTTTGTACGACTGCCACTAGTGCGACCTCCGCAAGCGCGTCGAGCGCACCCGGGTTGACATACGCACAAGCGGGAGTCTCTGTGGATGCAGGTAATTCGCTTGTCGAGGCGATCAAGCCCGCCGTCCGTGCGACTCGTCGTCCTGGTGCAGATGCTGAGATCGGCGGCTTTGGTGGGGTGTTCGATCTCAAAGCCGTAGGATATAAGGACCCCGTACTGGTGAGCGGAACCGACGGTGTCGGCACTAAACTGCGTGTCGCTATGGATGTTGGTGTACACAAGTTCGTCGGTACGTGGAAATGAACACAGCGTGCTCCTCTATGTGGCTCAACTGACTGTCAGGCTACGACTTGGTTGCCATGTCTGTTAACGATCTTTTGGTACAAGGCGCCGAGCCACTGTACTTCTTAGACTACTACGCCTGCAGCAAGCTTGACGTGCAAGTGGCAACCGAGGTGATCAGCGGTATCGCTAGAGGCTGTCAAGAAGCCGGATGTGCTCTGATAGGTGGTGAGACGGCTGAGATGCCCGGGATGTACCAAGAAGGTCAGTGTAATGGTGTACTTCGCAGAGCGAATGCTAACTGCAAAAATTTTTTAGGCGATTATGACTTGGCTGGATTCTCTGTGGGCGTTGTGGAGCGAAGCCTGATTCTGCCGCGACCCGACATCGCCGCCGGAGATGTTCTTCTGGGTATTCCGTCATCCGGCGTCCACTCTAATGGCTTCTCGCTCGTTCGTAAAATCGTCTCCCTTTCTGGGCTCACCTACTCAAGCCTGTGCCCTTGGGATAAATCGCTCACCCTTGGACGCGCTTTGCTGGAACCAACCAGAATATACATCAAGTCCCTACTCCCGGCTCTTCAAGCAAACCTCATCAAAGGCATGTCTCACATCACTGGCGGTGGATTCATCGAGAACATTCCAAGAGTGCTGCCTAAAAGTTTGGGGTGCTACATCGATGCAGCATCCTGGGAGCTGCCACCAGTGTTCAAATTTCTCATAAAATACGGAGGAGTCGAGCCGCTAGAAATGGCCCGTACCTTCAACAATGGGATAGGCATGGTGTTGATAGTAGATGCGAGTCTGGTTGACAAGACCATTGGTGCTTTGCACGACGCGGGTGAACTGAATGTTCACAAGATAGGGGAAGTGACAACTAGAACTGGTGTCGAAATGAGAAGTTTGGGCTCTTGGTTGTCTTAAAGGTGAGCTACTTGCAGTGGTTCAACCATAGGGATGGCACTTTCCTCTCCAAACCACGCACAATTGCATTAAAAGTACGCCATGATACTGTAAGAACAGTTACTGCAGGTGTGTCAACAATGACATAACTTATCTGAAATGTAACATGTGAGAGCCGCGAGCAGCGATCATAAAAATGCTAGAATAGTCTTGCCAGGCAGTAGAAATAATTTTTCAACATAGCACAATAACGAAATTGCCCTGAGATTTAAGCAAGCTAGGGGACGCGAGGAAAACATCTCTAAACATGTGAACAATGCGGGAAACGAGATAGATCTGTTAATGCGTTTTAGCGGAGACGGAGTGGAGGGTCCAGTGGACGGATCGCAGGAACACAGATAAACCGAAAAATATACAGTGAGACACAATACCCGAGATAGAGCGCAGAAGCGGGTTCAAATGCTATAAGCGAGAGAATAGACCGTGGACGCAGGCAAGACGATAATGTCGTGGTGGGTAAATAGTCTTCCGTTTAAGCTGAGACGGAGACTTCTTTGGCAGCGTCAGGGACGGCAGCCGCAGCCGCGAAGGAGACGGGAAGCTTGCTCGCCGGCTGCTCAGGGGCAGCGCCATTGAGCTCTGCTCTATCCTGATACATAGAAAATGTTTAAGCTCAAATCTCAAGTCACTTCGAAGCCCCCTTACCTTCAATCCTGACGAGTAATTATTCTGTTCCGGCGTGGTACCCCGAAGTGTTTGCTGACCGTCTTTGCGAGGGGCAGGTGCTTGCAACACTTGGGCGGCGGTGGGACCCGTATAACCAGCGGCAGACGATCCATGCAACGCGGGGCTTCGTAAGGGAGGCGTGGTGCTAGGTGTGGTGCTGGTAAGAACTGGGAACTCGTCGGCATTCGGGACTCGCTGGGGCTTCATAGGTGCAGATTTTTTGTCAGGGCGAACACCATTTGACGCATAGTGCGACTTAAATCCCTGAGAGCCTCGTCTGCTACCCGGATCGGTCGACTGCGACCGACTAGATCCCGCAGTGACAGTTGACCCATTAGGAGCGCCCCGCGTGTGAGATAAATGGGATTCCTAGTGGCAGAGTCAATCTCGCAGCCATCGCGCGTAAAGGTGAACTTACGTCTTGGACCGTCATGGCTGAAAATTTCTCTTCCATTACAGCTGTTCCGTTTTGATGAGCGGATTGATGGCTTGATGGACGTTGTCGATGACCTCCCCTAGCAGAGAGATGTGGGTGACTCGAAGGGTGGAAAGACGGGCCGCCATCTGGGATAATGTGAGGGAAACGACAATCATCGCTGCCAGTGTAAGTTAGCACTCCATCGCATGACAAGCGTTTGAAACATACCCATTCCTGCATTTCCCAACAGGAAAGAAAAGACAGGGAGGTTTCCGCCCGAGCCCTCCGAATGACGGTCGTCTAGTGCTTCCTCGACGATGGTGCGTCATGGCATCCCGGTGCATCGGAGGGGAACCATAGCCATCCGCCTGCGGATGAGCTGTTGGTGACTTTGGTGAAGTCATGTGGTTGACGGTACCGTTAGGATGCATACCCTGTTGATAATGAGCGATAGGATCCCGAGGTAAAGAGTATGGTGGAATGGATCCAGGCCCAGCAGATGATACAGACGGATACATTGATTGTTGCGGAGATTGTGGACCGCCACCACCATGCTGGAGGGGCGGCAAAGGAGGAATTGGTACAGAAACAGGGATTTGACCAGGTTGGGCATAAGTAGGTGACATGGGAGATACAACACTGTATGGTACAGGTGGAAGTGCACCTATTGGGCTGAAAGGTGCTTGAATAGGTGACACAACGTCTGAGCCTGATCGTCCATGAGCTAGGGTTTGATGAGGTAAGGTAGGATGGGCACCAGAAGGGGGAGACATATGATTCACTGGCACACCACCCGGGGACGTAGAGAATGAAGGCGGAGGCATTGGATAATATGTTGGCGGCGGGTAAGGCGTGGGAGCCATGGGATCGTAAGGAGTGGAATACTGCGCCGGCGGGGGCATGGGGCTCTGTATGTAAGGGGTCTGTGGATGGGCAAATATGCACGCAGATCCGTATCGACAAGCAGGATAGTATCGGCAAGGAATCATGCGAGCCACTTCAGGAGGGGGCAAGTTGGACATGCCACCTGGATTGTGCTCGGGCGGTATTTGCGGAGGGTGTTGATAGTACGGTACCGAACCATCCGGCATCATAGGTGCGCCAATAGGTACACCTGGGTAGTAGTACGCGGCGGGAGGAGGACCATAGTATCCTTTGCTGACATCTATATTTGAATCATGATTGTAGACTATATTCTGCGGCACAGGAGCACTCGAATGGATTTTGTGCTTAGCTGCCTCAAGCAACTCCAGGATGACTGAATCCGACGTGTACTGCTCAGGGGAAGTATCATTCGATATGTTCATCGGATCAGCACCTTTACACGCCACGCTGAGGACAATCATCTGACAGAGAAAGTTAAGTACGTACCTCTGTCCAGGAGTGCGGCAACTATTTCAGTATGACCACCCTTAATGGCTTCGATGAGGGGAGTCGCTCCAGTGGGATCTTGAAAAGAGACGTGTCAACATATCCATGCATCGAACAAGAGCTGCGGCGCACAAATTGAAATGGCAACCGCTCAAATTGTTGGACGCACCCTTATCTTCAATATCAGCGGACGATGCCTCCTTGAGGAGTTCGTGGACATTTTCGAGGTTCCCCTCGGAGCAAGCCTTCCAGAGAGCAGAGACCATTTATACTCAAAGGCAGAGAGATGACGGCAAAGGGGAAATCCCTGGACGAACAAGCGGTGAAAGAGAAATTGCTGGTAAGGGAGACAGCACAACGACAGTCGTTCAGGAGAAGCACGGAGTAGGAGGAATTGGCGAGAGTCAGGCGAAGGGGGCAGCCACCGAATCTGCTCGCACTCGGCAAGAAAAAAAATCATGTGGTTACGTAACCAATCTTGATTATCAGCACGGATATGGCAACTGTAGTCAGTCGACTGACTCGGTCAGCATCAGCCGCCACCCCTCTCGTCCGATTCGTCCCGGTCGCCGAGCCTCTCTCGGCTGGCTGCTCAGCGCTCAGGAGCAAGAATAATCTCTGCATTCGTATGGACACACGTGTGTACAAAAAATCTTGGAGTCACCATCACCATCATCTACAGAGTTCCAATTTCTCCATGAGCTTTTGTGCAGGCCTCCCTGCGCACTCAGGAAAGTCTAGCTCTCGGATCGGTGGCAACGACATCAGCGACTTTGCTCTTTCTCCGACGTCCTTGCCTGCGACTCGTTAGGAGTGGATCCACTTCAATGTTACGAAGTCTCACCTTCATAAAGCACCTCATACACCTAGAAATCCGATAGTTTCAATCAGCCTCAGCGACTAGGATCAGGAAACTCACCCCAGTGGCGATCGGTGCCTTTACACCCAGATTGGCGATCACCGTTCGAAGCGCCTTCGCGGTCGTAACTCCTTCCGCCACGCTTCCTAGCGTTTTGATAATGTAGTCCAATGTCTCTCCTTTGCCTAAACGATATCCAACCGTATAGTTGCGACTTGTCGAAGAGCTACAAGTCAGGAAAAGATCTCCTACTCCAGCCAGAGTGAGAAATGTCAAGGGCGATGCACCATAAGCCGTCCCGATTCTTGTCATTTCAGCCAATCCACGAGTTATGAGCACTTGGGAGGGACGTCAACTCGATGCAAAACCCGAGTTTTGCGCAATGCTCTCACTTGCCCTGGTGTTGTTCTCGAATCCGAGGCCATCAGACATACCCGCCGCAATCGCGTACACATTCTTGAGGGCTCCGGCGAGCTCAAGTCCGATAGGATCATCTCCTGTGTAGCTGGGGAATATAAAATATGATTTGACATTACATAACCGCAGTATAACATGTATGTTTGCTCACCATCGGAACCAAGGCTGATGGAAAAGCTGTGACGCTCTTTCTGCATGTTCATGGGACAAAGACGCTACAGATACTGATGTCGGCTGTCGTTTGAGAACTATAACACGGAAATCAACATCAACTACTCTCTAAGCAATTCAAAACCCGACGCAACGCACTTTCTTTTGCGAAGGATGGACCCGACTAATCGAAGACGATAGGCAATATTGCATGAGAATTGAACGCTGCTTACAATGAACGTCGCCACTTTGGCAATGTCCGGACCACAAGTATCAGCGATAATCTCTAAGGTAAGTGCATGAGTCTTGATTTCAATGCCTTTGTTGACAAATATCATTAGAGGAAGGCTTTTATCATCGAGCTTCGGCTTGAGAGCAGTCAGTATCTCTCTGGAGAACAATGTTCGCGAATTTGAATGTGCTCCCGAATGAATGGAACAAATACCTGATTCCCTCTGTTGGTATTGCAAAGAGTAGGACGTTTACACTGCGGACAACATCCTGTGAAGGAAACTCAGGGCCAATAGCGGTGATGCATTGAGGGAAAACATGGTCTTGCAAAACTTCAGGGTTTCTGTGATGTTTATTGAATTCACGAACGGTATCCTCGCTACGAGACCACATAAGCACAGTGTGCGAAGAGTCACCAAGGTGGTCGGCGAGACAGCTGCCAAAATTTCCGGCACCAAAGACCAAAACCGTAGGACTGTCTATATCCATAGCGAAACGCGGTGCGTGGAACTTGGGAAATAGAGCTGACGATGCTCTAGTGAACTGCGAGCAGTGGGTTGTTCGCGGTATCGAGCGGGGGGCCACAGTGTTTCGCAGAAAGATAGGAAATGACCGGACGAGGAAACGCCTCATGCAGTATGATGTACGTCACGCTCTAAAGCCAGAACAGGAGAGCGGCCTGGCCTAGTTCGTGTGTTTCAGTCTCAAGTAAGCCAGACGTAATGCAAAGAAACGAAGGAGCAATTCTCTCTATATACTCCTTCACGAGTCCGATGGCAAGTGCCAACTCAAGCCAAGTGAGTTCGGCAACTGTGAGACATATCAGCCACCGCACGTGAATCTCTCCGTTGTTAGCGTCTATGGTGAGACTACAGTCTGTACACAACCTGCATACAGCGGACTAGCTGTTCTTTCTCTCCCGTCTCAGGCCTGGGTGTGCTAGAGCTGATTGTTCAGCTGTAACCTACATTCTCATTGAGAATCATTCTAGCTGCTTGCCATCGTAACCATACCCACTATTCTTATTATTCTCAATGCCTGTTCAAGATCGGACGACCGAATTTCGAGCATGCGTAGAATCTATACGAACTCGATCGTCTCTGCCGCACCGGGGGACCGAGGCCAAGCAGCGAGCCTTACAGTCGCAAGGGAAGAACCTCGACAGTAAATCTGAGTTCAGTAGAATGGCGTCCGCGATAGCGAATGATATTAGCGGTACGACCATCAAACTGGGGAAACTAGCACAGTGTACGTGTGTTGCTGTATCTAACTTGTTTTTACCACTGAGAAATATTAGTGGCGAAACGGAAAACCCTCTTTGATGACAGACCTGTCGAAATTAGCGTGCGACCTGCTCTCTGACGGTGTCCTGACACGCATCGCTGACGTGTTACTTGTGAGCAGGAACTTACTTACATTATTAAACAAGATATTGCCAACATAAACAAGCAAATAGCCTCGCTACAATCTTACGTCAAGCAACGCAATGCGCATAATGTCAAATCGGCGGAAGGGAAGCAGCTCGAAGAACATAATCACAATGTCGTCATGCTCCTTCAAAGCAAGCTTGCAGATACCAGTATGACTTTCAAGGATGTCCTTGAGATTAGGACCCAAGTGAGTGCCCCCTAATTCATCGAACAAATATCGTTCCCAACATTGCGATTTAGAACATGAAAGAGTCGAAAGACCGGACAGAGCAATTTATGCACTCCACGTCCAGCGCTGCTTCACAGACCCCTTCAAGTAAGGGATGCCATGGTCCTCGTAAAACTATATACTTATGTTGGATTCAGATTCTCTCCTTTTCGGCAGCACACAGCGTCAGGATCCTATGGGAGATGGCACTGCCCCATCACCACGGTTCGATACCAAAGGGAAAGGTCGTGCTACCCCTCAGCCTAAGGGCGATATATTAGCTTTGGATCTTGGGGCTGCCGAGGAAGGTACCGCTCCTGGGAATGACGCATTCATGCAAATGCAGCTTGTTGAACAGCAGGTTCGTTATCTTTTCGCATACATCGATTCTGTTGCTTAGTTTTGTCTTTGCACAGGACAACTACATTCAGTCACGGACAACTGCGATAGAGTCCATCGAGTCCACAATTTCTGAGCTCGGCCAGATATTCACTCAGCTTGCGCAGATGGTTGCAGAGCAGAGAGAAACTGTTCAACGAATTGACGCGGACACAGTGGACATAGCATCTAATGTCAGCGGAGCACAGAGAGAATTACTAAAGTATTACGCTAGTATTTCGAGCAATCGGTGGCTCATGCTCAAGGTCTTTGGCGTGCTAATTGTCTTTGTAAGTTGCACTACGTTATTTGAGCTCACATCACTAATGGTGACTTCTACAGTTCCTTGTATTTATTCTCGTCTCATGACCATTAGATGACGCAGGATACATGGTGTATGTAGCGAACCCTTGGACGTTGAGTTTCTTTTTAGTACTCTACCCGATTGAGATAATAGTGCACATTGGTATATGAGCGCATAATGTAATAGTTACAAGGAGTGTTCAGCCAACTGGAATGGCATTCACCCCAGTTCCGAGAGCCCGTGGAGTACGTTTCTTATTTTTCTTACTCTGCCTCGACTGCCCTTCATTCAAGTCTCCTACCGTCCATGTTCGCCTCTTTATTGGTGCTTGATCGAGTCCTGATGTGGCTGAGTAACGTTGTGACCGTAGTATATCACCATTGCTCCCTCCCTCGTCCTCAGGACCTTGTATTTTCCCTTGTCTGTTCTGTTTTTCTAGCCGTTTCCTCTATTATGAAAGAATCAACCAGGCGCGCCGAGAATGACAATCATTTCATGAAGACGCACCCTTTGTTCATGAAGTTCTTTGTTCCGTTGTTTAAGCTTCTCCAATCTACTCTCACTCTTCCCGCCTCCGCCTGCTGTGAGCTCCACGTTAATCATTCGCCCTTCAAGTTCGGACTGGTGCAATTTCAACGCTTGCTGAAGGGCATTGCGCGATGAAAACTCTAGGAAAGCACATCCCTTGGACTTTGTTACGGGCTTCCCGCTGGAGGGTGCCTTAGGTGTAATGAGGCGGACAGTCGGTGGCGGGTCTGTCTAAATGGTTGAGTTGAGGGGCTCAGAAGGTACGGTAGTAACCCACCGCACGCTGCAAAATGTATTTGTATGGCCTTCTGCGTGGTTGTATACTTCAGATTACCTGGAATAATGTGAGCAGCTCGGAAAATTGGCAGGCATTTTTCGACATACCGATAAATAAAATAAACCGCTTTTCTTTCACATTTGATTCTGCCACCGCCTTCGGTATGCTCGATCTACTGATGGAAGGATCCTCATGTTCATTACTGTCCGCCGCTTTCCGCTTTTTTGCTTTCGGTTCATCCTCGACGCCTTTACCTGCTTCCTCCTCCCGCCGTTTGCGCTTCTTGAGGCTGTGACTGCTCTCCACCACCCGATTATCCTCTTCTCCTGCCGACGCTTCCAATTCCTGACGTCTCGCTTGATCCTCCACATGGCCAGACGGAACTTCAGCTTCCACAGCATCTTGGTTCTCCTCGACAGGGATATCATTGTCTTCGAATCCGTCTAAAGCCTTGACCTTGTTCTTCGCCTTGCGCTCTCGAAATGCCAGCGCTTTCTTCTGCTTCTTGGTCAATTTCGGAGCTTTAGCCATCGCGGAAGCTCACAGTGGCGAAACTACTGGATTAGATCGATGTGAGCTAAAGCTAAAGGCGAATTCGGGACGAGGTCACGTCAATTCCATGCCAGTGACATTGACAATGACAATGAGTAGAAGATGTACCTCACGTGATACACGCGTGAATACGGTTCCGGAAGGTTCAGAGTCTGAACCTAGGGCACTTCGACCGGTAGCCTGTCACTGGGCGCCGAGATCTTTAAACCTAGGGAGACCACTTCGACCTGGTATAGATAATAGAGGGATTGTGAAACTCGTTGTTATGCAGGTCCCATTTTTATTACCTGTACCGCCTCCACAGGGACGTCATATGCTCGTGATCCAAGCAAGACATGTGTATAAGCGGTCGCGGAGAAATGGCGTTGTGCGTAGTGAATATATACGAGCCAAGCGTCAGGAAGTCCACAATTCGATGACGCGTATAAATTCGAATACACATGATGGCAATATATCACAGGATAACTACACTTCTAATCTATGATCGCGCCTCCACCAAAACATGCCGAAGTAGCGTGCAGGCGGGCACGAGGCTGCTGCGAGGAGTCCGGCCACACAGAATCATTGTACGAGCACCCTATCATACTGCACACCTCTAATGTTCCCACCTTTCATGGAAGTCTTGATGTTGTGAAGGAATTGTTCACGATTCTTTCGTAGCTCCTCCGCAGCCTCTGTATGATGCGATAGACCTAATGAGTGTCTATATCGGTATGACATGGCCGCAGAGCAAACCTTTGTTGAGTGGATCATCTGCATTTGGCTCCAGGAAGAGATATTGGAGCCCAACGAGCACGGAATTCAAATTCAGCACGGGCTTCCAGTCTTCACGCAGAATGTTCAAGCAAACATTCCCCTCCAGATCTACATTGGGATGGTATATCTAGGAGACACAGTGGTACATATTATGGACACTGAGCACTGGTTAGAGCATCGAGGAGACATACCGTCTGTGTACATTTGACTTTTGGGGGTTCATGCGGGTAGTTGGTGTTGATGTTCACGGAGAAATTGAAAGAACCCCCCTTGTACATCCCTGATACGATATGAGACTTTGTGTCCGACTGCATTCGGAACCTCTCGCACCTTCGTCGGGGGTGATAGTAAGCGTGAAGTTGAGGAGATCGACTGGATCAGGGAAATGCGTCTTCATTGTTGAGGACAGCTCGAGTTCAGTAAGGTCTGCAGAGTGTGTCGGTGAGTTTTTGTGTGGGCAGATCTTGCGTTTCCTATTCTTCCGACAACTACTTACCTTTCTGTACGCGGATTTGAGCAGCACTTGTCTTTGGCTTCTTCTTCGCCGCCGCATCCTCGTTCTTCTTCATACTCCAGATCTGGAATAGGATTGTTACAGATGCTTTGATTCCGCCCAGAGATTTGCCACACCTTGATCATCCTGACGTTAAGGACAGTAAGTAGACAGAATGGCGGGTCGTCTGCACGCGTGTAAAGCGTAAGGTGTTGTTGAGACGCCCGTCGCCTGCAGCGTAAATACAGGCGACTATTATGGTCACATGATACCCCGGAACAGAGAATCAACTCGATCGCTCCAGCGATCAATTGATGTGTTGTTTGAGTAACGAGGACCCTCTCGCAACGACCGAACTTGAAAAGTTGGACGTCCATCCCGACGGTGTAAAAATCTTCTGCTACTTGACTATGTCAGCCCAAATGCTCCCTGTCGTTAATCTTGATGTGTTCCAATCCAGTTCGGGGAGCTCTGAATCTCTTCAAGAATGTAGAAAGGTAAATAGTCCCGTTTTTGACAACCGGTGCTCTGCTCAAGTCTTGGCTTTTCAGGCTGCTGATGCGCTGATTGTATATGGTGCTCTTCTTCTGCACGACTCACGTGTATCGGAGGACGACAACAATACATTTCTCGATCTTCTTGAGGACTACTTTAATCAGCCCGAATCGGTGCTGAAGCAGGACGAGCGCCCAGAGCTCGGATATCAGGTCAGTACCAATAAGGGGGTTCCTGATATGATCTTACATCTTTTATTTCTATGCACAAAGGTTGGAGTAACACTCGAAAATACAGAGAAGCCCAAATGTGCAGCCCATGAGCCTTGCCTTGATATCATTGCACGCCTCGACCCCGCGGAGAGACCGCTTGATATATCTGCACACCAACCGGATCCCAAATGCAGGTTCTTCTGGAAGATGGGGGATTCTCCCCCGTATGAGACCGCGTTTCCTGGATTAAACGCGGAAAACGTCGTCCCACAGGCGAGCGAGCTTCGTGAAAGATGGTCTCCAATTATGGACAGGTGGGGATGGGCTATGAAGGACGCGTGAGCCTCGCATCATTGATTCGAGTGGCAAAGACTCTGATGGATTGCATCAGAGTGGAAGATTTGGGTGAGATGGTAGCTATCGGCTTAGGTTTGCATGGAGACACTTTCCGGGGAGCAGGAAAATATGGGTGCGTTATCTATCCATTGTTGCAACAGATTTTCTCAGACTACTGTCTCGTTTGAAGGCCACATCTTCTTGCACCGACGGCATCCGATCTCGTCAAGTATGCCGAGAAGGATACCATCCTCGCTGGCTTCCACACTGATCTCAATTTCCTCACCATACACGGCCGCTCTCGTTATCCCGGTCTCAACATCTGGGCTCGCAATACCGGAAAACGAATTTCCGTCAAATTCCCACCCACTGGCCGATACTTACTCGTTCAAGCGGGTAAGCAGCTGGAACATTTGAGTGGCGGGCTCATCAAAGCAGGATATCACGAAGTTGTGGTTAATGAGGACACTCTGCAGGTACAGCTCAAAAATTTTACCATCAGATAAGCGATTCTGTCCTTACAAAGATGGTGTAGGCTGTTGAAAGGCGGAAAGCTCAGCTTCCTGATCGCCCTCTTATCCGCATCTCTTCGACATTCTTCTGGCACCTTTCCTCTGATTACGATCTAGCACCGATTCGGGCCTTGCAAGATCGCGCTCGCGCTCTGAAAGGTCATCCCACGGGGCTCGGGAAGGTTGACCTTGAAGAAGAATCTGTTTACGAACCAATGAAGGTAGGACACCAAGTTCAGAAGTACGTGTCTCAAACTTGCTTATCGAACAAAGGACACTGCACTAACAGCGGGTCTCGTAGTGAATTGAGGCATATTGCACTACTCGCGTAAAATCTATTGTCTAACAGTCACATCAATTGTAATTACGATTTTCTCCTCGGGAACCCGGAGTTAAATCCGATGTATGTAAAGGACCGCATCGAGAGTTGAACTCGAACAACGGCAATATACTAGTGAGCTGAAGTTGAATTGTCAGCTTCGCACTGTGAAGGCAGCCGCGGACGATGAAGCCCATGTGATGCAGGTCGACAAGAGAGAACTCCGGACGACCATTATGATCTAACCATAATTCTCAAGAAATTCCACATCTCCGAAGGCTCTGACTACACTATCAACCTTCACAATCATTTCATCCCATTCGGCTTCAGGATCTGATAATGCCGTTATAGCACCACCTGCACCAATGCACCATTCTTCGAAGTGAGATGATTCACGAGTTGAATCGTCCAAAGGGCTTCGCCCTGCTGCATGGCAGCATTCACTACCTTCCTGAGGATCATACTTGAAGCAACTGCGTATGGTCACAGACCAATCGCCGCTTCCTCCCACACACCAATAACCGAAGACGCCAGAGTAAATGCCACGGTCCTGATCCTCAAGGGTATGGAGGATCTCGACACTGCGTTTCTTTGGCGCTCCCGTCATACTACCTGTGAGATAGTGGGATCAGTCTAATTGATTTGACGGGCATATCATCGTATGCATACCCGGAGGTAGACTTCTTCGTAGGACTTCCCAGCCCAAGTTCGAGCTCTGATCAGCATCCGAACCGTCGCGCAGCTTGCCCTCAATGACGCTTACGAGCTGCCAAACAGTCTTGTATTCTTCGACTTTGCAGAATTGTCTTACCGACACATCCTCACCAACAACACCATGTAGGTCATGACGTATGAGATCAACGATCATCAAATTCTCCGCAACCTCTTTCGCACTACCTGCCAGAGCCTGTTCTGCAACCGCGCGAGTCACCCCAGGAGCTTTGCGCACCGTGCCCTTGATTGGCCGCAGTTGACAGGTTGTGTCAGGGGGTCTGGAATACGATAGGAAGCGTTCAGGAGAAGATGACAGCATAGTGGAAGGATGTAAACGAAGGTACGCTGAATGAGGGGCGGGATTGCGCGCACGGAGTATCTTGTATAGCTCCCAAGACGAACTGGAATTCCTGCTGGCATCAGCTCCCTTTGGTACAGAGATGCGGGTAGGAGCAGTCAAGCAAAGTTCATACGAATCGCCTGCAAAGAGATGTTCCTTCGCTCGCCCAATTTGAGAGATGTATTGTTCGCGATCAGGAAGGGACACAAGTGGCGACCCCGTCGTGCTCTTCTTGCGTCGTTTTGCGGGTGACGCCCGTCCGCTATCCATTTGGACCATGGCTGTCTGCTTGAGTGTGCTACACATACTATCGAGCCACGCATCGTCATTGGGGAGTAAGGATTGGATATATACCGATCCAGAGGTGGAATCGACGACAATGCTACGATCAACAAACACTAAATTGACGTCTGGGTGAGATGACTTAGACATCTTTCGGTCCCCCGATAGAAGTGAGGGGGCAAGTGATTGGACACCGAGTTCATAGCTCAGGTATCCAATCAAACCACCCCAGAATGGGGATTCACTAGTGCCACCCACAGCTCTTCTAATACGCATGAACGTAGCCAGCCATGCCCAAATATCGGCTCCGGCCAGATCCTCCAGCATGCATTTCTCCTGAGTGCGCACATGGATGTGCGGCTCGCCCACCGTATGAATGATGCGTGTTGATCTTGGTGTTAAGCATCCAATCAAAGTAAACCGACCAGGCTGCGCAGCAGAATCCAGAAGGACGAAGTCAGAATTCTCCTTCATGACACCAATTGCCTCACATATGCTCGTAGGCAGACATCCTGGGATCTGTAATAGGCGGGTCGTAACAGTGGAAATGATGAGAGGAGAGCGGGGACTTGTCACAAGGCGGGGAACAGGCCAAGATGGCCCAACGACCTTTTCGACTAGCGTATTCCACGGGCAAATTTTCCGACCTTCACTAGAAGCCCAAGTCTGTGCCAACCGCCAGAAATTGCGTAAAATTTCCTCGCCACCTCCGTCAGTGCGCACCGACTCGGGATGATATTGGACGGCCCAAAACGGCTTGGTCTTGTGCCTCGCAGCCATTATAACCGGGCCGTTTTCAGCTCCATCGTCGGCCCAAGCTAAAGGTTGGAGGTCCTGACAATTGTCCAGGCTAACATATAACGAATGGTAGCGAACAGCTGAAACTTCCTTCACTCCTTGAAAGATTTCTTCTCCGTTATGTTGGATTTGTGAGATTTGACCATGTTTCACCACGTTCAGCCTCCCAAGCTTTGCACCGAACTCAATGGCGAGACTCTGAAGACCAAGGCAGACACCGAAAATTGGTAGGAGGTGTTCTTCGGGCAACCTCCATAAATGCCTCACAACTCCAATATCGCATGGATTCTCCGGGGAGCCGGGCCCTGGTCCAACAACGATGGCAGAGAAATGGCTCAAATAGACCTTGAGCTTAGCGTCATCGACACTGTCGTTCTTGATAATATGTATATGGCAGTCCGGTATAGACTTCTTGCAGAGAGCAGCAAGACTAGAGAAAGAGGATGATGCAGTAAGAAATGAGCTCTCATGTCAAACCTGAGACGAACTTGTGAGTGAATGAGTCGTATGAATCTATCAACAAGATGCGAGGCGAAGTCAGAGCCATTGTCGTGCTCGTGGTGATATGAAGGATTAGAATACCGCGATTGAGGTATAGCGAATAAATTAAAGCAGGTTAGAGATGCATATGAGAATGGGAACTTGAAGCCATAGCGGCTGCAAACGGAGCCGGAAAATATGAATTTAGAATCACAGCGCAAGAACGCGACCTTGTCACGCGGTTGTAACACTATTGTGACACTCGCGCTTTTAGTATTCGATCGAGCTTTGGCAAGCTTTAACTTTAAGCGGGCACTACGGGCGCATACTAGGAGGTCCGCGCATACCTGTCTTACGGGTGGCGCAAGTCGTAACGTGCATGATCATCCTGCTATAACTGAGTCCAATGCCCACTTTTCAAGACGACGTGAGCTCCCAGGCGACGTTTAAGAGAGTACGTGCATGTCGCACCGAGTTATGATTTCCTGACTATTTATCATCGTCCAGTTGAAACGTTTATGTGTCCCATTACTAGAGAACTCGGTATTGTCTCCGACTTCACTCCCTACGGTATCCAGGCTCCTCTCCGAGCTTTCTGCCATTTTGCAAGGCGTACAGTCTTCTGGGGAAGCTCTCAAACCATCTATTGTCTCCTACATATTCTTCCCATTATCCTCCATTCTGCGGCGCAATCCCCTATCGTCTGTATCGGACCAAGTGCTGGAGAAAATATTCATAATTCTCAATATTCTGTGCGAAAGCTGGTGGTGGAATTTCGACGAGACTATGTGGGAGCAGGTCTTCCTCTTGTGTGGTGCTGTTCTTGGCGGGATAGATAGTAAAGGAAAAGGAAAAATGCGGGATGACGAGACAAAACAAGCGGCTTCAACTTGCTTATGGACCCTGTTGCGGATTCGATCTCCTGATGAGGACCCTTTCGGCTCAGCGCAACCCCTACGTTCAGAACGATTGGCCCACCGCTTTCAAGCCCACGCGCGGACAAGCACCTTCATACCTGTCTTAGGCCAAACCATCGATTCCTTGCTTGTTGCAGCTCAGTCGTCGCATTCATCACTTCAGCGATCATCGCTCCGAGTTCTCTACATTCTCATCGAAGACTATCTACCGGATAATTTTGTCCCTTCCATTCTCCCGGGAGTATTCAGCACGACAAGCAAAATTGCTTTGGCTACCGGTGTCTCCAAGGGATGGGCAAATGGCGATATCGTTTCTGAAGCGCTTCGGGTAATGCAGAGCGTCATCGTCAGATCCGTTGGTAACGATATCTGCTGCAGGGATGGTGCAGTGAAAGGGTACCATGACCTTGAAGATCTCGTGCATATCGTGGACTTGGATGAGCATGGGAGTAATCGAAGGGCGGGCGGCCCCCCATATGCCACAGATCGCACTTCTGCGTGGTTACGAGGGACGGCTTCTCAGCTGCACATTGGCATAAATGCACTGACGTCTCTCGTCAATCACCCCAACCCATCTGCACTTATTGCCTTGGCTACATTTTCCGAGACAGTTCTCTCTGAAACTACCTTAACCGTGCCTCAGTCACAGTCCATCCTCCTATCGTTTCTCCTCGCACTTTCTCGTTCTGATTTTGACAGTGTCTCTGCGAAAGCCAGCTCTGCTCTGAGACAGCTTCTGACACTCCCCTCGAGCGCACGATTCACGATTATGCAAGTGCTTATGCAGATCTCGAAAGATAATTTGGCCGCTCTTCCCCGCGCCATCGTAACGCACGCAGACGCTAAAGTGGAACATATAGCGGGTATCCTAGAAAGCATTTGTCTTCTTGCTACTGCGCAAGGCAGAGGTCAACGAGGTATTTCGCCAATCGCGTCTGGTGTGGGAAAACTCTTAGGTCCTAATGGCGGTATTGAAAAGTGGGGCTGGAACCTGTTGTCGGTTCTTGAGTTTGTCGATGGTCCACTTCTATTTTTAGGTCCACCCACAGCCCCATACATGCTCGAAGGAAACGCAGCCGACTTAGATTCGATACCATTTCCTGGGATCGGACTGAGGCACATTACTTCCCGTTCTGCTCTGATGGCATTGGAACGAATGCTTCGCGCCATGGGAAAAGCAGCCAGAGAGGACTGTATATTTGCCATCGACTGGTTCATGAGTGTTGGCCAGAGCGGTCGAGGGACGAGAGCCGTGGCAGCGCTCTGGTGTACATGTCGGCTAATCGAAGGCATCTCTGATATCAATTTGAGCGACAAGGACTCTATCCGTGTCCGCCCCTTGACATCTACCAGCAAGAGGGTGGATAGACTAGCTCGTGGCATTGCTAGAAGAGTATCTGAGTTCTGGGCGAACATAGATTCAGTCGATGAGGTTGATCAAGAGCATGTCACAACGGTCCAGGGCGATGAAGAAGAATTGATGGTTGAACACGTCAAGGGGATTGTAACTGTTCGCATCACACCCGACTCGGAGCCGCGTTCAGCACCGCTCGGAGATTCTTCCAAAGTTTCGCTGCATAGGGCACTTTCTCTCCAAGTACTCGCTGTTACGGCTGGTATCCTTGAGGCTCGGTTCACAACTCTGCTGCTGCACACACTCTATCCAGTCCTTCACTCACTTGTCTCGGAGGTAGCGCTTGTATCTTCCACTGCATTGGCTACGCTATATTTCATTTCTAGAAATGCATCGTACGCATCACCCGCAAATATGTTACTCTCCAATTTCGATTACGCACTCGATGCCGTTTCACGCCGTTTAACTCGCCGCTGGTTGGATGTTGACGCCACGAAGATTTTGGCGGTCCTAGTGCGAATTGTCGGCCACGACGTTGTACAAAAAGCAGGAGATGTAGTTGAGGAATGTTTTGATCGCCTCGATGACTACCACGGCTACGAGAACGTTGTTGATGGTTTGGTAGAGGTGTTGACAGAAGTGGTTCGCGTAGTTGAAGACGACGGAAGAAACCGTTCTACGAAGGTTCAGGAAGCCCGTCATATGTGTGTGCCGAAATCAGATGTCATCAACATGGAGGCATTTGCGACCTGGTTGGCGCACAGATGCGACCACCCAGAGCGTCAAGAGGGTTATTGCGGCGACGCTTCGTATCCCCGGAGAGCATGGGGGATGGAATCTCTCGAAGACGAACAGCATGCAGATACAGCACCGGAAGCCGACTTGAACGCTGACTCGCAAATAACCTCCACACAGACCTTGACGAAACAGATTGTATCTCGTTCCATGTACTTTCTCACTCACAGCTCTCCCCTCATTCGCGCGCGCATCCTGATGCTTCTCGGCTCGTCGGTCCCAGTGTTACCTGAATCAGCTCTACTTCCATCTATCCATCAGGCCTGGCCATTTATACTTAACAGGCTCTCCGATCAAGAGTCTTTCGTCGTCAGCGCCGCAGCCTCACTGGTCGAATCACTCGCCACTCATGTCGGTGATTTTATGTATCGCCGGGTATGGGACGATATATGGCCCCGCTTTCGCTCGATGCTAGAGAGACTTGCTGCTGCTGATACTACGAATGCTCTTGCTAGGCGGGGCATGGGCGGGGTCGGCACAGAATTGGCGTATACACACTCACATCGACTTTATCGATCTGTATTGAAGACGATGACGGCGGCCGTGGCAGGTGTCCAGACCCAAGACCCAGCGATATGGGAGGTAATCCTCTTGTTTAGGCGCTTTTTACACAGCCAGGCACACCCTGAACTACAGGCTTGTGCTCGAACTTTATACACTGCGGTCTGTCTAGTGAATGAGGATGCTGTATGGCTGGCGTTGAATGCAGCCCAAGGACAGATTGACGCTTCTGTGGCGTTTTTGGCTCGGAAGCAGTGGGACGTCAGTCAAAACGTAGCATTAATCTTTGTTCAATAGTGGAATGTATGTGGTACTGCAATCACAAAAGAAAGGCCAAATCGCCTCGTGTACAAGACTTGAATGATAAATGTGCTATTATTGCCTATCCTAGTATCTAGATGGACATGGCGTGCCTCCGTAGAACAACACCCGCTTCTCGGAACAATGTTGCCGAGGCATCGTCTCTGAATCAAAAACTTAGCAGGCCCTCACTCGCTTTCGGCTCAACAACATACTCACACTTTGTAACTAAGGTTATATACGACCTCCTTGACGCCAGTTTGAATGATTTTGACAGTACACTTGAGGCAGGGACAACTGCTAGCCCATGTTAGTCACGAACCACTCCATTTCACTGAGAAACAATTTCTGACGTATTGCAATAAAGGACTGCACCGTCACCCACGCGTTCCCTTCCTGCCTCCAACAAAGCATTTTCTTCAGCATGAAGGCATACGCACTCGTCCGATGTCTCACTTGCGGTATTGCAACGCCGACATCCGCCTTCATTGCAATTAGTCAGACCACGGGGCGTACCGTTATATCTGCAATTGTAATAATTATATCAATTGAGTCGACAACAATGTTCTCCAGGTAATGCGCAACACACCCTGTAGCGAGAATCCGCTTGTTACGGACCAAAATAGCACCGACTCGACGTTTCATACAATTGGAGCGCTGTGAGGCAAGCGAGGCCAGCTGCATGAAGTAGACATCCCACCCTGGTCTTAGCCGCTCCGGGTCGAGAAGATTCATTTGATCAAGGTGGGAATGTAATGCCGATATTGAACTGAAGGAATTGTTTATATGAACGTTTACTAGCCTGCTGAGGCCAAGTTGGGAGCACTGTGCACGAGTTCTATCGAGATCAAGCGGTTGATTTGTCTCCGCTCCTTTCAATTTCTCTCCATAATAATGTAGATCATGTTCCTCGACGAACTCTTCTAATGATATACTCCTGAGTTTCATGACATAATGAAGATTGTTGCATCTCGAACTGTGTGAAGCAGTACTTACTGATTCTCTCGCTTGAATCGCGTCATTAGAGGTGCATCAACACTGATAATCATGAAAAATGGACGTGTGATGAATGGCTCAAGAAGCCGTCTGGTGGCCAAGTCAGCAGTCACAAAATTTGTGCGCCAGTTCCTAGTGACATGTTGAAGGAGCTGAGAGGGCGAAGCAAACCAAAGTGGCTGTAGTCTCCCAAAGTGTGTACCGGGAGCAGGAGAGGGTAACGCTGAAGGCGGTGGGGAAGCCATACTCAGGAAGGACAGTCTGTGGTCAATTGGATTTGGTGTGGGCTCGTCCATGAATAGATCGTCAGACTCTGCACTCGATGTTGGGCTGGCATCCATCGGAGAAACCAGCATACTCGCATGTTCAGATTCTTCATTTTCCTGTGCCAGGTATGGTGATAATCATTAGCTCCTGTGAACATATTCAAGAGGAAGAATTGAAAGAGACACACCGTGTAGAGTCGTACAGGCAAAAATCCTTTTGTCTTGATCAAATAGTCGGAAACAGTGGACTTTCCAGCTGATCTTGTTCCTACAATCGCTATGAACATCGCAGAGACCGAAAGCAAGAGCCTGGTTTCGAGCATATCTTAGTCATTTTGCTTGACGACATAAAATTACGTATGGACCTAATAAAGATACAGCAGTTGCCGTGTTTCCGATGTGATGCTGTCGCGCTAACCTGACACAGAGCTACAATGGGAATGGTCGAGGAGAATGGAATTATAATGTCGAAGTCGATCGTGATCGGACAGAGCCAGAGGCGCTTATCATCATATATATTTTACAACCTCACATATATCGCAGTCAACATATAGTGAGACTCCGTGGTGCGCTCTCTATCAGCGCCTTCGAATATATCTTTAAAGTCTTTATAGCCTGCAACTTCTCCTTCCGCCTTTTTTTGGCAGCAGCCTTACTCTTCGCTCTCTGTTCCTTGGCGGATTTCATATCTTTAGGTGCAGTAGTTCGTAATTGTTTGATATGCGTCGGTTCAATGGCTTGTTCGACTTGAGTCAACCAGGGTGCACGAGGTACTGACACCTTCTCCACCAAGCGTAAGAGCGTCACAAAATCAGGTGCAGAACCCTGCATTCTAAAGAAATGACATCATGTTATATTGAACAAACAAGATGCGCGGCTTACCGCTATGGCTAACACCGAAACTCTTCTCAGGCCCATTGCATCTGCCAGGGTTGACTCCGCGCCCTTGGGCAGTGCTATCAACCAGACTATCTCCTCCGAGGTCGTCGGACGGCGGGAGTTACAGGCCGCGACCAATTGGGGAAAATGCTGAAGTAGCATGGGTGGATCAACATCGCCTCGACAAACCAAAATAATGCACGCGCATTGCTCCGCCTGCGGTGATGATTTTGGAGTCGAGTTCGCAACGGTCACGACGTGACGATACGACTGCGCTCTTTTCTCTAGTAATTTTGTGACTTCATTGACGCCGAATGTCAGATGCTGCAGAATGGGGGGCCCTGGAGTGCCGTTAGATTCGCCCTCTGTTGTGTCTTCGGGTGCCTGAGAAGCTGACATCGGGGTTGGAGAATGATGAGTCTGCATGGCTTCAACGATCCCGGCGAGGCGGACGTTCTCCGTCGATGTTCCCGGTGACGATAGACGCTGCATCTTGCGCGCTGGGGCATTGGGGCTCTCCCGTGTACGCTTTCTCCTACGACTGGCTTTCTCACGGGCAAGGTGGTATTCGGATACACCTACGGCCATATCTGCCACACGGGCTAAGATAGAATTTTGTACGTTGATAGGCACTGACGGCCTACATGATATCTGCATATATGAGTATGTCACTCGTCCGCACAGCTCGACCTACGCACCAAGGTACCCTGAAAGGATTATCCAAGACACTGCGGAAGATCACTTTCCGCTCCGCCTGGTCCCGTGCATTGGCGCGATTTGACGGATTTGTGTGGGTTCGCACCGCCCTGTCTGCCATACTATATCCCCTTGACAGAACTCAGCTTACCGAGTAAGAAGACATAAGAGTCAATGAGCAAGTACTCCGAGAGCACCACAACAATCGACTACGTAACATTGCAAACATGTGACCGTAGGACCCGGGGCACATCTGCATTCAACATCGATGCTACCATGTCCACACAAGTCCACACATACACCGGCTTAGATGCTTGAAATCACATAAATGTACCGTTCAACTATCCATCGTCCGCGTCTTCAGCCTGCTCGATTGTGAGATTGGTCATTTCTCATCATTACGCCTGTATGACATGTCGAGTCGAGTGGCAACCGTCAGCGGAGCGTACCCATGTTGTTGGGGGTTCCGTGAATAATGGTGCGCATCCCAGTGATTTATCGATAGATCTCGTAACTCAAGTCTCGGCAGTATGCTCCAGCCGATTCAATCGTAAAACCCGCGGACATCCCCTTCGCATTTGCAGTTTGAACTTAATCTCCATGAGGTCGCTGCAACGTATTCGATGAAATTGGTTCTACCTACAGCGTGTTTAGATGATAATTTATTCTCTGATTCAGGCCGTTCCATACCGGATCAAGAGCGTGCCTAATAGTTCTCTTGTGTCTTCTAGCAGGCCACGCGGCCGTCACTAACGCCAATAGGCATTTGACCCCTGTACAACCCTTACTCCAGTGAATTCACAAGGTAAACGTTGACATGGACTTACCGGTTGATCCGCTCAAGACGGCACCTCTCGTAAATATCTTATTGGTTAACTCCTAGGGATATCATCTCGCACCATCCAGGCGCTCATTGTTAAGAGCGGTCTGCAACTCAGTACAGTTTCTAACGCATACACGGGGCGCCGGTTCTTGCTGCCAAATTTCAAAGTATGTCCTGGCAGGCTAGAGCGCGCAGGTCTGATTAGCGTCACGGAGAATTCGGGCTCTGTGCGGAGGTTCGCCGACACATCAATTTGTCACCGATTGGTTCGCGTTCAGCGTCGACTAGCAAACTGCATGCACAGACAGTAAAGACCATAACCTGGTGTGCTCCCAGTATCCCAGTGCTCGCTGACACACTCTTCGAGATATAGCCACTGATTGTGATTTATCATCAGATCTGTGGGTGGGCAATATGGCATCGGCATGGTTTCCAATACTGATCTCGAGAGCCGGCCGTAAAAGGCCAACCCTGGTCCGACAACACTGCACCGCATCCATATTCTGGGTTGAGTGGCATCATGCCTATCCTTTGATCTAGTATCCAGCCGGTATATAAGTAGCGAAGACGATACCCAGTCGACTGTTCTCATAGATTTCCCTTGTCAACAAAGTTATCCATTATCCAGCAACACTAATTCTACACAATGCCATCTCTCGCATCTACCCACACCATAAACGTTTACAAAAGCGCTCGCGACCTGCCGCTTGAAGTCTGGGAGGCATTTCACGCGCATCCGAGAAATTCAAACATTATATATCCGCATGCCAGCAAGGCGAAACAGCAATCCCGCTCTAATCCCAATGTCGAGAGAGATACTTGGATCGTTTGTACAACCCCTGGGGGGCGCGGTCGATCGTCTTCCCTGGACTTTGTGCTCTCTTGCACAGAAGGCCCCCTTGACTCATACCCTATATTCATCTTCACTCCTATCCCAATCTCCCACCTCGATCCTAATCATTATCGTCCTAGACTTCGAGGGCTGATCCATGCATTGCAAGAATGTGTTCCACCAGAACGTGTCTTCTCGGTGTTTTCTTTGAACCCCATATCCCGGGCATTCGCGGACATATGGACCCATCAAACGGGAATCGGGTTGGACGACGATCCAATCTATTACGAAGCCAAATTGACGTATTGTACGAAGGCAACCCTGACGCATATCCGGCCGGATGTACTCCAAAATACGACTTATCGCCTGCGTCTTGCTAATGAACGAGATGTTCCCGAAGCGGCTAAGTTGTGTCATGGGTTTGCTGCAGTGTCGGTAAATCCTTCGCGAACCCTCGCTGTATGTACGCTGACATCACACTTAGGAGCCATTTACATTGAACAAAGAGCAGGCTATCCAAGAGGCTGCTCATTTGATACGCAACAAGCAGTTATGGGTGCATGACGTTATGGTATCGGACTTTCGTTCGGAGATAGCGTCGATTGTCGCTGTTACACGAACTAGCGAAACCGTAGCTAGCGTCACGAAGGTATTCACAGATCCGCGGTGGAGACACTACGGGTGCGCAGAGCGTCTCACCCGCCATGTGACCCAATGGTATGTTGACGTGGTCGGCGTAGCATAGTGTGGCTCATGACATGTTTTTTATAGCCTTCTTGAAAGTAAAGATAGCGTTATGCTCTACGTTGCACACAATAATCCCGCAGCAGCCAAGGTTTATCATCGCGTTGGATTCGTGGGGCTTGCGCCTGGTTTGGGGCCTGTAGAAGGAGTTGATTCGTGGCTAGAGCTTGGGTTTGACCGCAATCTAGTGGATCTCGGACACTGGTGATGAGAACTTAGACTGATCCATACTTATCCTACATTTAGTATCCGTCGATATCTCCGCTTAACATACCTAGTGCGCGCGCGCGAGTCGCTTATTATGCTGCTTTACCTTAATCGACCTCTCCCTCTAGCCAATAATCGTCGGATTGTAGCTGGCATACCGATATTCTGAAAATCTTTATTATGCTTTTCGCGCTATAACCCTGGGCATCACATTTTTCAGCGACTGCAACCTCTGAAAGTCTTGGAGGCCTCAGGCTGCACTGAAGTCACTGACGACTTGAGGACGACGAACAGCTAGTCGCAGAGGAATTCTCAGTCCATTGAGGTGTATTCATGTGCGTCGTTAATGATGTCTTGCATTGCGAATCAGTCTGAATGCCCTAGTGTCTCGGTCAAGTCACCACACATCATGGTCACTGAGCTCCTTACTATCCGTCTCTGTTACTACGACTCGCGTTCTTCCCTCTTGAATTTTACGGAGACTTTTTTTTCTTTGAGCTTCGTATAGCCCGAGATTATCAATACCTATGTCAACCACAGCGAAACAAATGCCCGCTGGCCTAGGAATTGCTCTCGATTCACAGTTTCCTCATGGATCGCAGAGTATACAGAGTCGTGCGCTCAAATTCATGTTGTTACACTTCCTGATTTCTGAGTCGTACTACTGTTTCACATCTTCCACAGACACAGAGCGTGTAGAGGAATGCCTCAACAGCTCGGATCGCATTGCCACGGCTTTTAACGAGGCTGACAAAGGCGCATTTATACGATCCGAAACCCTCTTCGACTTCCAAGTATCTCAGACGAGGAACACTACCGAGCTGAAGGCTCTCCTGGGCAATGGAAATGCACGCCTCAAGTCAGGTGCAGCTGTACAAGCTGTACTCGACACACCAGGGTCTCAAATTATGAAAGCGAAGCGGGCAGATCTGGATACAATTCGTCTCGAACAATCCAAACACAAGGCCCGTCTCGAGGCGGACATCATCCTTGACAACAACATTGTCGTACAAGGTGGCCATCTGCGAGGTCACATCAAACTCCGCGTTCGTAAGCGATCAAAGAAAGAAGCAGCCGTACTGCTCAGTGACGGAAAAATTCGCGTTGTCGGATTTGAATGTATACCAGGTCAGGATGACCGTCATACATTCTTCCAATGCGTTGTTCCTCTATCACAAGTTGCCGAAGGCGTACATAGCCTATACTCCTCCCCGCCGAATCCAGGAGGATTTGCGCCTGCTATGGAAGGCGCTCACGTTTTCCCGTTCTCAATACATATACCCTCAACTGGCGCTTCTGGAACTGCTAAGGGAGTCCTTCACGTCCACTCGGGCATCGCAGTCCAGTACATTGCTATGATGTACGTGCTTCTCGTATATGGGTCTAGTTGTTATTCACTCTTTATTTCTGTAGCTCCATGAAGATGCAGAATCCTAACAATGGTAAACGATCTATTGCGCATTTCTACAGGAATTGTGAGGTTTGGCCGCAGCTCAATCCTGCTGTGGTTCTCGCTTCAGCTCCACGTCCCCTCCAGGCCGCTACTAGCAAAGGCCTCTCTGTGCTTGGCAATAGTAGCAAAGTTAAGATGACGGCCCTTTTGCATCGACTTACTTGGATAGCAGGCCAGCGGTGCAGCGTAAGCCTTGTCGTAGTCAACGAGACGAAGAAAACTATTCGGAGTCTTGCTCTCACGCTCATTCGAACGACAACCATTTTCCGGCCGAAGCCGATGCTAGATGCCGGACCTGCTCGTTCTGCGGATCCAGATGCATGCCAAACTACAACTATGCATAAAGTTGTTTCCGAATCAGTCCTTGAGATGGCGCAGCGGGGGGTAAAGGGACATGCCAGCGCGAAAGGTTGGTGGACTGGTGTGGCTCCTGGCCAGGAATTGTCGTTCTCTCATTATGTCCTATTGCCGGTGAGTTCCAAAATAAGATATTACTCTGCCGACTGATCAATCGGTATAATATGGCGCGTCACAGCCGGATGCGCTCTCAGTGGCGCGCGGACGTCTTCTCGAAGTTGAATACTCCATCCGTGTCACCCTGAGCGCAGGTCCGCTAACTTCGGACGTCCACGTCACGCTGCCGATACGAATTATTAATTTCTTATCGATTGACTCGAATCCAAGCGATCTGTTACATTCAATGGCGGGGGCTCACGTCCGGCCTCTGCGGCGGCGGCGTTCCATCGATGGTGAGTTAGATCCGAGGGTACATTCAGTGAAAGGGTGGTCAATGCTCGCGCATGGTCTCCCTGACAGTCGGACGAGCTCATTGGTCTGTTCCGCCTCTCGTCACAAGAGTACTCTCAATCCTCCTCAGCGGACTGCCAGTGTTGAAGGGCTGAGAAGTCCTGGTCGCATTGCGCCTGCAAGTATATCAACTGGAGCATTGCGCATTACCAACCCTGATCGCCACCCCTCCTATATGAGCGGTCTATCAAATACCGAAGACGAAGATTCTAGCGCGCATTCCTCAAATAGCTCTTATTCGTCAAGCGTGGATGGATGTACCTCGTCATCTGAACCCGAGTCTAGTCAACTTGAAGGCGGGATATCTGGTGATTCAGACTCAGATGAAGAGGTACATATGGTGCTTAATTCAGCTGCAGTAGATGAGGAGGAGAATGGCTCAGAGCTCACAATCGCTGGCCCTGAGTATGGCTCATGTGCGTCACGGGTGAATGTGCCCCGCCCTACGGGTCCTAGATCAGAAAGCTATCTCGAAAGAGGTAGAAAACCCTATCGGGATCATAGTCACAGCCAGTACTCGGTGAGGAACGCTTCCGCATGCCATGCCTCATCCGAGAACCCGGGGAATATCGAAGGTTTTTCTCAGCGCGTCCATGAGAGGCTTACTGCTATCACGACAACTCATTCTGACACCGTTTCGCGAATCAAAGAAGGTGACGACGCGGACAATATCCATCATTTACAGATAGGTTGTGACTCTGAAGGAAATGCAGGGCTGGAAGGAGAAGTTACCCCTAAGCTTGGACATCGCCTTTTGCTCTCTCCGTTGGGTAAACCTGTGCGTCCGGCTCGAAATCCATCCAGGAGATGTGGTGTTCGTGCGCAGCCGATCCAAGATGAAATCATCGGTCATGCATCTAAGACACCGTCTATCTGTGATGTCAAAAACTCACACGTCTTCAATCATTCGGAGACTTTGGCTACTCCCGCCAGGAATCATTCACCAACCGTGGATCAAATGCCCTCGATTTACAGTGCTGCTCATCGCAAACTTCCACATCTGCCTCATGGTCACTTCACGCCGGACAGCTCCTCAACGTCGTTATCTCCACTGCTCACCGCCCCGGCACTCTCATCGAGCGTGCATCGTGGCCTCCCTGTAGCCCATTCAGTTTGCTGCACCGCGTCCGGCGATAGCTCAGCTACCGTCGATTCTCGGCCGATACATCCTTCCGCCGAGCTTACCGGTTCCATTGTAGAGTCATCAGATCAACACGCCAGATCTCATGGAGAAGTTGCTATCGTAGACGCACAACAGCATTGTTCAAGCTGCGCATGCGCTTTGCACGGAGCAGCGCCAAGTTATGTAGCCCTCTGTCGGGTGCATAGAGAGAAGCTTCCCATTTGTCCCGTCGAGGAATCCCCAGCCGATGGTCATGGCGCAACGTATGGTCGTGCACTGCCCGAGTGCCCGCGCCCAGAGATGCACTGTACCTCAAAAACTCACTGTCGCGCTCAGCCCAGCCAACAGCGCTCTGTGTTCACAGAGAAGACAGGGTCCACGGCGACACGAGGGCGTCCCGTGACGGCGCTGTACTTCACCGGAATTTCTGAGAACGATTGTCGGGGAGGGGAGTATGCGACTGCGGTGAAGGGTCGTATCGCCGAGCTCGAGGAGCGCGTACGAGGTGCCCAGGGCGACGGCAACGGGTTTGTTTGAGGTAAATTTGTGTTCGTCAAGGTCTAGCTGCGGTAAGTCGAAATCTGACCGAAGGTAATGCCTATTGCACGACGTGCATGGACGTCTCGAATGATCTGTGTTTTCATTGTGCGATAATATTCATATATCATGCATCAGACATAATACTTTTTTTGAGTCTGGATACAATCCATATATGGTCGTACGCGACGCCGTCGGATGCACGTCTTGGCACTGCGATGAAGAGCTTAAATCTCCAGCACCGGGAAGGATCATATGGGAGCAATTGCAATACAAATTCTCTATGTCAGCCCCGCTGGAGGCGGGACGTGCTGCATTCAATGCGCCCAAGACAGTGGAGCAAGAGGTAAGGGTTCCGCTGCCATAAGATCGGAGAGCATTCAACAGTAACTGGCCGACAAAATACCGGAATAATTGGACCTTGTACGCGTCAATACAAGAGTCCCTCGTACTAAATCCATGATTTGAATGGTTATGAACAGAAACGCCTACTCAGGTGCGCATACCAATAACACCCATAATTCAATAGATTTAATGAGGATGTGCACAGCGCGTAACGCCGTGGCCTGCTGTAACAAATGTGAGACACATGATAGTTCGGAAAAGACGTTTGACGCTGTCTTTCGAGGTGATCATCAATATTCAAGTGGCTCACCTGCTGATTCCATGGACCCTGGACTTGGCTTGCGACGGACAGACGGGAGGACGTGATGCATACAAAAGCCCACCCCTTGATACTACACTCGGGTCCCGACCCTGTGCCCAAAGGAGCAGCGACATGCGCAATATGCGTTCCAAGGGCACAAACGCATCTCGATGAACTCAATCGTTCATCTAAGCGCACAGGATATGATCCTACGACGGCTCCGTGAATGGACCCGATCGTACGGTTCACAAAACACGAAAGTTGGTGCATTTAGGAATTAAATCATTATATGGATGTCGGCAATAGTTTACTGTACAGTTGTTCGTTGTGCTGCCAACATGCTTCTGCCCCCTCCAATATACAAAAGGCCTACCTTCGGCCATCAGGGCGGTTACTCAATAACCACACCCCCATTGATGTGAATGACCTGCCCACTACAAGGGTTGTCAGTATTCCCACCGATGACTGGTCTGCATAGTCAACATACCTGATATAGCTAGAATCTGGAGACGCGAGATACACAAACGCCGTCGCAATCTCGATGGGTTGCCCGGCGCGCCCCATCGGCACGCTTGTGCCGAACTTCTCAATGGAATCCTCAGACATTGTTGCAGGTCTGAGCGCACAATCAACACGACGGCCGGCGCAGCGCATAGGAACAACTCACATGAGTGGTGTCCAGATTGGCCCAGGTGCCACTGCGTTGCACCTAATGCCTTTGTCGCCAACAAGTTGGTTGCTCAGAGCGCGCATAAAGCCGATCATAGCACCCTTGGTCGCGGTGTAATCAATTAATTCGGGGTGGCCAACGGCCATGTTGATGCTGGCGTTGAAGTTGATAGTCGCACCAGGCGGCAAATGCGGAATGGCAGCCTTGCAAATGTAGAAGAATGAATGGATGTTCGTATCAAAGGTGTTATGCCACTGTTCGGTGGGCAATGTGGGTAGATAAGTATTGGCATTTTGAGTTCCGTGATTCAGAACGCTGAAGAAATGTGTCAACGCGCAAGTAGTTTACATGTACTGATTTACTCACATGGCATCGAGCTTTCCGTGAAAAGCAAGGTGCTTCTCAATAAGGACAATACATTGTTCTTCTTTGCTGAGGTCGAACTCGAGTGTCTGAACTTTACATTTTCCGTTAGTTTTTTTCTTAATTTCCTGCTCCGCGGCTTCCGCTTCCTGCTTCTCCTTTGCGGTGTAAGTCAGGGTCAAATCCGCGCCCTCAAGTGCTAAGACGCAGCGCCGTTCAGCAAACATCCGATCAGCTAGAGAGGAAATATGGTCGTACCGAATAAAATAGCAGTGCTGAGACCGATTCCACTATCTGCGCCAGTGATGAGGGCGCTCTGTCCATCGAGCTTTCCAGAGGCTTTGTAAGGTTTTCCGTCGGCTGTGACATCATTGACAGGCTGGGGGTCGAGTTTGGATTGGAGACCAGGCGCGCTAGCTTGTGTCTGGAAGGGAGGCTTGTAACCCTTTTTGAATTGCTCTGAGAACTTCATGTTATAAACGGAGGAAGGGAACGAGGAGGGTTTGCGACGAGGAAAAAGACAGACGGGATCAAATAGTTGTGCGTCGAGAGGCGAAGTGACGTCACTGCATCTTCAAAGACACGTCACATCTGCGATTATTTGGGTCCTTGGGCGGGGCAGCTTTGCGGGGCAGATGGTCATGGAACCATGACAGCCGCCGCCGCCTCGACTGAGGTGACATCACGCCAGGGTTAGGGTTTGTCCTAGACGTAGCCGCCACTCGCTGCGCACAAGAGCTCTCTCTCTCTGTCCCCCTCACGATGGGTTTCATGAACCTGCCTGCTGTTCCCTCAGACCTCAAATCCATCTCTCCCTATCTCCAAAGAGCTGATGAGCTCTCCTCTAAAGACCCCGTCGTCTCCTACTGGTGTACGCCACCCTCTCCTCTTTCCTCCCATCTTCCACTCATGTCTCTCAGGCGCATACTATGCTGCCCAGTCTGGTATATCACTTAGACCAAAGGAGCCACCTTCCCGCGCGTTTCTCCTCAGCCTCTTGAGTGCTCTTGAAAAGCTCAAGGTTGACATGGGGCCAAACGAGGCCATCGAAGATGAAGCTGTTGCAAGCGCATATGTCGAGAATTTCGCACTCAAGGTTTTTGCTATGGCGGATAATGAGGATCGTCGAAATGAGGCAACTCGGTGCGTTCTTCTCATCACAAAACCCTCGTTGCCGTGCCAATACGCGGTGTCCCTGCCAAACGCCCTCTCCCTACACATTTTCGTCTTATTGGCTCTAACGGCGTCCGAAACTAACAGTGGAACAGCCAAGAAATTCCTCGCCGCAGCCAACTTCCTTGAACTTCTCCGCATTTTTGACAAGGAAAAGCCGGATACGCTGTCTACTGCTGATTCGAATGCGGAGAAGATCCGCTACTCAAAATGGAAGGCTGCGGATATTGCCAAGGCTTTCCGTGAGGGACGAAAGCCCAATCCAGGACCCGCAGAACCTGAGCCCCCACTGGCCTCTAACTTGGCTGCGCAGCCCCCATCAGGACCAAGCACTCCTGCGTTGATACGAGCGACACAACCCCCGCCGACAATAATTGACATGCCTCCACCACAGCAAGACTCGTTCTTCCAACACGTCCATCCAGATTCGTCTGTGCATTCCCGCTCGCGCTCACATGTGCACGACGCACAGACACCTGGTGCGTGGAGTACCATCGCAACGCCCGGCACCCCAGGTATGGTCGAACCTGAGCAGAGTACGATTCACTCTCGGAGTGTGTGTGCCACGGTGAGTGAGGAATTAGAAGGCAGGGAAAACAATGCAGATAGTCCCCCACTTCCCCCTTCTGCTTCTTCGTCCTCCCCAAGTCGCAGAGAGGTGCGATTCACTCCCTCTGTCGTCGGTGGTCTCACCACGCCTCCGCCGGAGTCTTCGCATGCGATCGACCAATCTCTCCTTGTGACTCCACCCACGCAACCTACCACACTTCCACGCGCCCCACCAGCTGCTGTTGCGCCCGAGTTGAGATTACCACCGGGGTTTCTCCCAGAGACAACCGTGTCAGACCCCCCGCTAGACTTCGTTCCTGACGATGCTCTGCATTTACCGTCCGCATCCGCACCGCCTCTACCACCATGCTCCCTGACGCATACATCCTCGCACGGCCCTTTAGATTCATTTCATTCACCTGGTGCGACGAGTCCACACGTCTTCCTCCCTCCTCCACCTATAGGTGTCTTTCCTGCATCTTCATCCGCTCCTGTCCCGCCTGTACCTCCGCCATTTGTGCCGGTTCCCGCGCCGGCGGCTGCCACGGTGACAACTTTGCCTGTGGAACTGACGCCAGTGGAGATTGCGCGGGCGCAAAAGCACTGCCGGTTCGCGATCTCTTCGCTAGATTATGAAGATGTAGAGCAGGCAAGGAAGGAACTTAGGGCTGCGCTGAAGATGTTAGGAGGGTAAGGAGGATTGGAAGATTAGGCTGGGAATAATTGCGTACATGAGCTTAGTATTCACGGATGACATGTATAATTTTGCTTATATTCATGAGCTATAAGGACACGATGGAGATCTGGATGCTAGAGGAGTTGCAGATCGCTATCTGGATCGCGCGACGATCTACGCTGCGCCCTGTGGCTGAGTCAGCAGGGCGTCTGTCAGCTCCCAACTTGTGCGCAGTCCTTTGCAAGTCTCAGATTCGGACTGGCCACTCTCCTCTAGCGCGCGCACTGGAAGACAATCTTTTTGCATAAACGCACTCTTCTCGCCATTCCTTCCAGCAAGGACATTCGTACATTCATGTTCGCTTGCTAGTAGCATTCTCCAAGCCATCGTCACGCCCATGCCGCCAAAACGCTTCTCATTCTCTCTCAACCCACAGTGGTCCCACTATGTAGCATTGTTCTCGCTCGCAATTGCCTTATTTTCTGGTTTTGTACGCTATTTTATCATTGGTATGTGACACCCTGTCTGTCAGGAACTAATAACGTCTAACGCAATCACATCTCTTGTACATTCGTCAGACCACACGGACCCCCTGCACTGCGACGCACTTTTGAATGAAGGCCAATGGCTAGATAGCAAGTTTAAGAATTGGCAGCCAGATGGTGTGTGTTCGCTCGCATTTCCTCCTGCGGTCCGATCTCACATTCCCTCAGGTTGCATGATGCATACATACCAGGCCAAAGACGTCACCGCCTGCATGGGTAGCCGCCGAGTAGTCTTCATCGGAGACTCCGTAACCCGCCAGCTCTACTTTCAATTTGCCCATATCGTGGACCCAAGTCTCCCCACAGCGCCACCGGACGATGAACGCAAGCACCAAAACTATTCGTTCACCGCAACCTCCAACATTCAGCTTTCCTTCTACTGGGACCCATATCTCAACTCCTCCGAAGCTCAAAGCTACATCATTCCACAGTCGTTAGCCTCCAGCACCCCTCTACGCGACGACCCAACTGGGTCCGCCGACCGCCCCGCATTGCTTGTTCTCGGCTCTGGACTGTGGTACCTCCGCTATGCGAACGAAGGCTCGGGTGGGCTTCCCGCTTGGGAGGACAAGATAGCCTCCGCATTCGACGCCCTCGCGAGCGCGCGCACGCCCGTCGCAGACAAGGTTGTCGTCCTTCCCATCGAGGACGTTGTTTCCACCAAGTTGTCGCGCGAGCGCGCCCAGTCCATGCAGGCGCCCGACATTGATGCGATGAACTCGGATCTGCACCACCACATCCGCCCGGCGCCGCTCACGAGCGCATATGCGCTCTTCCCAGCGTCCGCGCCCACCCGTGAGGGCAAGGGCAGGGCGGCAGCAGCAACTGTGCCTGCGCCGCTGCCGGTATCATTACCGCTTGTATTTAACAAGATGTTGGACGCATCGCAAACGGAGGACGGGCTGCATTTCTCGGATGCACTTGTTACTGTGCAGGCGAACATATTGCTGAATTTGAGATGCAATGACGTACTTCCGAAGACGTTCCCGCTGGACAAGACGTGCTGTCGTAGGTATCCTGTACCGTCCCCCCTCCATTCATTGGTATTGGTCGTCGCCGTGCTCTGGGGGCCCGCGTGCGTGCTGCTCTCCCGTCGTCTAGGTCGGTGTTGTCCCATATCTCGAATGCTGTTATACTCAAATGACCATACAGAATCTCGGATCCCTGGCCAGCCATTTATAGGGGAGCCGGAGATGCCCGCGGTGGTGCTCAGTGTTGTTGCAGCATTAATCTATATTTCGGACCGCACTGGTTTCTGGTTAAAGGAACAGAAGCAATTTAGCCCCTGGATATTCACGTTCTTGAGCGTGTTGAGCCTGATCGTTGGCCTACTTACAGTGAGACAAGCGGATAATGACCTCGGGTTTCTGAATCGCGAGCAGACAGATGAATGGAAAGGTTGGATGCAGAGTGCGTCAATCATCGTCCCTTCCTCATCTTTGTGACTGAGTATCACCGTGTGTAGTCGCCATTCTGATATACCACTACACGGGCGCGTCGAAGATATCCGGAATATACAACGTCATCCGTGTGCTCGTGGCTGCATATTTGTATATGACTGGATACGGACATGTCACCTACTATGTCAAGAAGGCAGATTTTGGGTTCACACGCGTTGCGCAGGTGTGTACGCCGAGTCTTGGTTCTGGAAGTCGGACTTACAGCTCCCCAGATCATCGTGCGCTTGAATCTACTCACGTTGCTTCTCGCATATACCATGAATACCGACTACCTCTCCTACTACTTTGCACCTTTGGTCTCTTGGTGGTTCTTGATCATCTACGGCACCATGGTAATCGGCTCGCAGTACAACGATCGCACTGTCTTCCTGGTGTGCAAGATCCTCTTTTCTATGGGCCTCGTAACGTGGTTCATGAGCGAGTCATGGTTGCTGGAGAACATTTTCACATTCCTCGAGCGGGCGTGCGGGATACACTCGTCCGCGCGCGAGTGGGCGTTTCGCGTCAACCTGGATCTCTGGATCGTCTACTTCGGGATGTTCACCGCGATAGCGGTCATGAAGATCCGGGAACACCGGCTGACTGACCACCCGCAGTGGCCGCTCGTGGTGAAAGGCGCTGCCGGGGCATCGGGCATCGTGTTACTCTGGTTCTTCGCATTTGAGCTGTATCAGCCGGACAAATTTGCGTACAACCTGTGGCATCCGTACATCGCGTTCCTTCCTGTTGGTGCATTTGTCATACTCCGAAATGCGAACGGTATCCTCCGATCCGCATCGAGTCGCGCGTTCGCCTTCATCGGACAGTGCTCCCTCGAGACGTTCATCATCCAATACCACTTCTGGCTGGCCGGCGATACGAAGGGCGTCTTGCTCGTTATCCCCGGCACGCGCTGGCGCCCGCTTAACTTGGTTATCACGACTATCATGTTTATCTACGTGTCTCATCGTGTCGCACAGGCGACGGGCGAGGTCACGAATTGGATTTGTGGATCCTCGAAGCCGCCAACATTGCCTACGATCATGGGCGCCGAGCAGCGCCGGGGCCATGCAAACTCTACCAATGTAGAGTCTATTCCTCTCACACTGCAGGACAGCGAGGGGCGGAAAGACATCGATGGCAGTACTCCTTCATTGGAATCTGACTCTGCGCGATCACCGCGTCGGTGGGTTGACAGGCTCGCGGAGGGATCGTCTAACTCTAGCTCGAGCATTACTCCAGGGTTCAGGGTTTGGTATGGGGAAACAGAGTGGAAGCCAGGAGTGAAGACAAAACTAACCATTGCAGTCACAATCATGTGGTTGCTCAACATTATGTGGCCATACCCTTCATGACTTACTGGACAAGTGGAGCATGGTATACCATAAGTAGATGAATTTATTGCATGTACTTTACAAGAATCCCAATACTAATAGTACCATCCAGACCTACAAGCACTTTGGGATACAAAAGACACACCAGATTCTGTAAGTCACAGAGTTAGCAAACCAGACATAGAAGAAACACAAACTACAATCATTTGGTTGAAGACATAAATACCAAAACACTTCGTCACAGCTGCAGCAATGTCACCACAGCTCAAATAGATGCTGCATGTAATCATCCTGAACGAGATAGATAGAAACTAACCGACTGGATCTAAACGAGAAGGAACGTGTTAGCGTTGATCATCAAAGAATAATAGCGTGCGTCAGAATTAGCATGGTATGCTCGTCACCACTCGTCCTTAAGACGAGATCAGGACTTGACTCTATGTTATTCATCCCTCGCGAAGATCGCAAACGAACACCAACTCACCATGCCGTAAGATTCATTTGGATAAATGTGCTAAACATATGAAGAGCGCAAATCAGTAAGCATTGCTTTGGCACACGAAAAATGCTCAGAAATTTGGGTATATGATGTATGTTCACTAGCCCGAAGGCTTCGAAGTAGCGATTCATTGGTTCTCGTCACCGCGTAAGCGACACTAAACCAGTACTCACCTGGCTACAATGGACCGCAGAAGGGGAAAGTAGAAGACAGACGTGTTGGCAAGCAAACCTAAGATGCCACCGAAGAAAAGTGGGAGCGGCTAAAAGGACGGCGTTTAGTCACGTGTTGAAGAGTTAGGGCAGGCTGTCGAGCGGTCGCGGAGTTGCTGTTACCTTTCTTGGCATCGACCTTTGCTTCGTACCTCTCAGCTTGGGTGGAAGACACCCGACATTGTACTGTTACATCCAACAATGGCCAACGTAGTCACACACCCCCATCTCCAGGTCGACTTTCACCGCGGCCCCGTGAACCACTCTCCCTCGCCCTTGGGTTTTGGTTTCGGCCTCTCGTCCACACCTGTTATGGCAGGCTGGTCTGCTGCCCCCTCACCACAACCATGGAGCCTACAGACCAGCTTGCAGCCCGTTTCTGCCAGAGCGACAAAACGGCGGCATGAACCAGACGATGAAGTAGAGAACAGGCAGTCCAGGGGGGATGATGAGATGGATAGAAGCCCTACTCCGGAACGACCGAAACGTGCGGCGCCGAAACGTGCCAGGACCACGCCCACACTTGCCACGGCAGCAAAAGACGACAAAAATGCCAAAGGGAACAAGCCCCCAGCAACGAGCGAGGAGAACGACGTCGATGTCGGTGTGTTGCTTGGTAAGTTATGCTGCCTCG